AGACTACTCTTCCAGGCAACTCTTGCCGACAGAGTCTATTGCAGTCGCAAATCGATAGTCTACGCTTGGTCAGCCAGCGTGGATACATGAAGGCTCGATTGTTCTTCACCTGTCCAAAGCTCCACTTTGTTCATTGATTCAGCAAATTGTCCAAACACGGTTTTCACCCTCCGATCGGCCTCTTTCCTTGCCAGTGTCCCTTTTTCAACCTGATCACGCAAATATCGGGCTTGCTGGAAAGCCTTGGTGAGCTCCTGGCGAGCTCGTATGGCACTTTTGGCTGAGTTCCAGCCCGCGGTCTTTAACACCGCTTTGGAAAATCGCCAGTCCTCTCTTAACTTCCTTAAGATGGACCAGGACTCAAAGGTCGACCAAAATTCAAGTGCGCTTACCCAGTCTGTGATAATTTAGATGAGAATGCAATTGATGGGGACAGCACCGACGAACCGTGTCTAGTGTAAGGAGGTGGGTCGATGAGACATTCAGCAGCGTCGGACATGACGCTTCCTATTAAGTCTTCGTGCAAGTCACCTCACGGCTTAGTCGACAGGGGAACGGATTAGACTTAGTGGTTTTCGCGGTGACAATGAGAACTAGCGCTTCGCTACGCTTAGAGAACAGGTGGAGGGGCAAAGATTTATTAAAACTTGGGCCGAGTCATACATCCATAGAAGCTTTAGTCTTGCACGTGCCCCGTTGCTTCTTGACGGCTGAACTTGGCCCTTCTCTTTCACTGTTTGATCGGTCTCTACACATAGGAGAGTTTTGTGAGGATCCGAGGATTAATAAGAGCAATATCGTGAGCATTTTAAATCTACGATTTTGCCATTCTGACCGACATTGCCTCTCCGTCGCCGAGAATCCAAGTCCATCTATAACAGCGAGAGGACTTATCGAAAGCACCTTTCGGTAATTTCACACTATGGTTTCGGTACCGATTTCCTCCCCTCGGGAGCTAGCCTTAACTAGTGTATCAACTTCATACCGCGGGCTAGCCTCTGAGAAGGCATCACAGACACTGCAAGCGAACTTCGCACAGGCCTCATACATTCGTCCAAGCTCCAGACTTGTATCCGATGAGGTAACTCCTATTAAGGCTCATACGAGTTGCTCCAAAAGTCTCCCCCCGAAACTGCAGCTGATCCAAGCCAAGATATTTGCGAACACGCGTGAGACCGAAGGGATGCCTGCGAACAATCCTTTGGGCAATGGGTCCAACATAACTCCACCAACGGCATCAGTCGAAAGTCTGGCAAGCACAACAGAGTCCAACGACACCCTGAACCAGCCATCCCCTGAGACAAGCCACTCAGATCCAAGTCTTCTTGGCGCAACGCTTTCTACCGATTCTCCCACTCAAAGCCTAATAACAGTCAATATGTATTCAAGTTCCAGCAATCTGGAATCTCTGGGTTCTCTACATAACAGCCTTACTGTTTTAACAACCTCTTCTAAGCAAGTCGACCTCGGTATCGAACGTTTTGCATCGGTAACTACAGGAAGCGACAAGTCTCCGAGTGACGGCAGTAATGACGACTTGGAACAAACTGAAATTACTGAAGCTTCTCTCATCCGCACGTCTGACGAGGGCCGTATGCAGCTTGGCCACTTCTCTCATACGCAGATGGAAAATCAGAATGCCTCGCAAGGGGAAACAACGCAGGGATCCTATGGCCCGCAATTATCTACGACACGTGTTGACATCAGCCCCCATCCATCTTCAACAACAACAACAGATATTGTTTTCTCGAACCCTACCAATAGTTCTACGGTGGATGGGAGCGGGGTATCGCGACAGCCCTCGAAGCAAAGCCTTAGTGCCATTTTTGGCAGTATTCTAGGAGCAAGCATCTTTGCCGGTTGCATTGTGATTTTGCACAGGCTATGTTATCGAAATTTCCGAAACACGAGTGTCCAAAGGCATCCCATACATAGTGCATGTCGAGGCGGCCAAGAAAGCACAAGTACAGAACTAATTTATCCTGAAATATCACGTTTCTCCAAGGATTCTTAACGCGTCTCGTCACATTCTACCACTAACTTGTATACATCACAGTATCCAAATACAAATTTACAGGTGCCTAGCACTAGACAAATAGTCACAGAGACCCCATGCCGACTATGAACCAAGGATCGTAATACCGATGAAAGTGCGTTCCTTCTTCTCAAAATTCGGTGTAAGCAAAAGCCCCTGCTCGAGCATTCAGGACGAGGTCGATCGCTGTCTGAACCAAGGTTCTCACTATGTCGGCCAATTCCTCCCTGCTATTTGTTTGGCCAGCCATTATATGCCCAGGTGAATGGACGGGGTGAATTGGACATCCTTGGCAATAAACGGCGCGCAAAGTCGAGAAGGGAAAGTTAATGTAAAGAGGGTAGCATTCCATATAAGGGATTGTTCTATATTCTTGGCGCGACAGATGTCCCTCCTCATCCGGTGAAAAGTAGAAATGAAACTCATATTCGTTCAGTTGTTCGAAAAATGCGTTAAGGGCGTCTCGATTGTTCGGAAGCAAAATAACCCGCTCGGTCCGGAAGATTGCGATCTCGAATCTGAAGTGCGTGATCTGAACAGAATAGGACTGTCCTGAATGAGAGACGGGACCAACCAAGTTCGGATTGGAACTCGGCTGCAGAGGGTCAAAGTCGGCTGGAGTCCGTCTAGGTGCGCGGACGGGAGACGGATGCTCAATTTCGCGGGAATCAGGTCCTTGGTAGAACGATTCCGATCCCGCAGTCACACCACCGTCATATACCTGTCCAGACCGGCTGGCATCCTGACTGGCAGTCTCCAGTGGGAGTAGATATCCAAAAAAGGCACAAAATACGGACTGTCGCACTAACACCGCACTAACACGTGTTGCGGCAGTTGGACGTGAGATAGACTCAAAAGAGAGCGCATAACGGTCGGCCTCGATAGAGTCGGTGAAAGGCTTACCACATCGCCGTTCTAAATCTATATCTTTGTCCTGCTCTGGTGGGAAATCGGACGGCACTGGTAACGGGATCTCGAGTGTGGCCGTCTCCAGGCCCGTGCGTAGCTAGGTCAGCAGATAGGCCCGACTTCTTGGTAAATTCCCGTAGAGCTTTCTCGTATACCGCGCGGGAAGGCCGCTGTCTATCTTCCGTAGGTGGGCACCTTTAGCGCTTGTCTTCCACTCTTGCTCCCACTAGGCGTGGATTTTGCTACGGACGAATGCGTTTTCTCTCGATAGTAGCGGTCGAAAAGGATGGGTTTTACCCGGCTGCACTGCTTCCTTCGCTAGGCGATCCGCTGCATCTTTCCCGACGTTCTCACAATATCCTGGCACCCACTGAAGGCGGAGCTTGACATTCGCTGCCTATGTGTGTGTACAGGAGATTTCGAAAACAGATTACCCCAGACACACACTCGCTCTCCTTCCCGAAGACTCGCTGATGGGCTAGGCCTAGATCGCCATACCCCATAGCCAATCACATCAAGAAAATCCCTCCGCAGAAAACCAATCCCAGCCATATTTGGACTAGCGCCAGCCACGCGGGGCTTACAAAGAAAGCGTGGGTGTCTCTGTTTTTGAAATCACCTGTATATGTGTGTGCATGGGGTTCGTTCCTCTGACCACTTGTCAAAGTTGATTTATCCGATTAGGCCTGTAGACGAACCCGCACCTAGCCTACTGGGCTATGGTTCACAATTCAACTGTTGAAACGACATGTACGCTACTGCAACTATTTAAGCTACGCCCCTTGCCCCTCTATCGGAATGTACTAATAGCTTCACTAGGACAATGGGCCTTCCATGCGCCCACCGAATCGCGCGGTTACTAGATTCGAAGCAGCCAATTCCATTATCCGCTATTCATCCATTTTGGAGGCAAAATCTAGGAGTAGAGGACCAATCTACCTATCTACCACTCCTAGAACCTCGATTGCCTATACCAAAGGCCAAAAGATCAGAAGGAAGTGGGAATAACAGTGTAGTTGCAACCGGCAGGAAAAAAGCACCATCAAAGTGCTCAAACTGTGGGGAAATTGGGCATACAATTCGGTCATGTAAAGTATAATGAATTTAATCACTCTATATGCCAACTCGAGGCATCTTAACCATAATAAATTGATTAAAATAGTTATCAATTCAATTACCATGGTGTGTGGTGGTGGTGAGATTACATAATAACAGATATTGTATAATGGGGTGAGGTTGACTGGATTATTTGATCGGGATGCCAGACCAAGGCGGGAAACCTACCCCGTTCAAGAATTTTCACGGAATTGTTTCGCTAATGTTGATCAACCATCGGCAGAGCTACACGGGATTAACATTGCAGATTCTTTCTTAAGAAACGAATTGGCTGCGTTTCAACGCAGAATCACCGGTCCCTGCCTGGGGCCTAGCACCGGCTTGGGGAGGGGTTGTCAGGGGTAGCTCTAGCGCTGCCCCAAAACTAAGCGACCCCAAATGCCCATGCCCTTCGCACAAAGGCGGATTGGGGCGACGAAGAGGCATTGGCTTTACCAACGCTTGGAACTGAAATGTACTATACCGCTTTAGGAATAATACGGATAAATTGGACTAGCCCTTTATGGCCTAGTGCAGGTCTGTCAGAGCCTTCAAGGCCGGATACGGACCTTACAATACAATACATTCAAATCAGCGCGTGCCTGGGAATATTGATATTATTGGCTAATCCATATTCCTTTTAAAGACTAGTGCATATTTATTATCTATCCTCTCAAAAAGCTGATGATTATCGTTAAGCCGTAAACTGTTATTCTCCTTTTTAGACTATGTCGTCCAGTGTACTCCGTAATCGGACACCGAATACACGCGAACACACCTGCACTATCCGAACTCCACTGCAGCTTACGTGTGCGTCTCTTTCGAGATGTTAAAGGCTCCGCCTCCGGCGTCAGCTTCTGCTATGTGTTGAATTCTATGGACATCAACATTTACGTGTAAAAATCCGTGGCAGTTAATCCAGGGTCAAAATATTGAAGCCCAGTTGCTTGAAACAATCGACATGGCTTCTTCACCTATCACAGACGTAGCCATCATTGGTTGCGGTCTCTCGGTGAGTAAAACAAGAAGAAGAAGAGAAGGAAAAGAAGACCAGCGGCTTATTTCTCACCCCAGGGTCTCTGCGTTGCTCTCGTCCTCAGATCCTACTCGATTCCATGTACTATCTATGAAAAGCGCAGCACACATCGTCAGGGAGGTTCCATCAGCCTTTTTCCCAACAGTCTGCGAATCCTCGACTCACTAGGAGTATATCAGACTATCCGTGCCCATGGCTTTCCTCTTTCTACCTCTATCATCAAGGACGAGTCATTTCAAACCATCCGCACTGTCCAAGTCTGCGATGAGGCCCGCTACGGTTATCCACTGCTTCGTATCGCGCGCGACGCGATCCTCGACGTTCTCGTTGCAGCTGCACGGGAGCGTGGTGTGGAGATCTACTTTGACCACCGTTTCGTTTCCATCGTTCCGTCCGCAGACGACGCACCCCCGTCGGAACCGATCACCCTCACCTTTACCAACGCCGCTCCCCGGTCTGCAGCCCTCGTCGTCGGTGCGGATGGCCTGCGCTCTCGGGTTCGCAGTGTGACGCCGTCGTTCAAGTCCGCCGATCCACAGTATGTCGGCCAGGCTCTGATTGCCTGGTCTGTACCGTACGCACAGCTGCGGTATCCGGTGCCTCTCTCCGAGGTACCATTGGGTATGGCAATGATAGTGCGACGAGGCATGGTGCTCTTCGTCCCCGACGATCCCAGCGGGAAAAGCGTGCGCGTAGCGGTGCAATTGGCGCTCACGCACCGAGAATTTCTGGCGTGGAAAACCCTCGGCGGACAACGCGACAAGTTACTCGATATTCTGCGGAATGGCGGAGAGCAAGGGGAAAAGGCCGCAGACTGGGAATGGCCGGACTTGGTCGCATCCGCCATCGAGATCGCAGAGAAGGACCATGATAGTATCCCTATATTTCTATGGCCGTATTTCACCATTCCAACTATGGAGACGTGGGTTGCGAAAACAGACAAGGCCGTGTTACTAGGAGATGCAGCGCATGTCTTTCCGCCCACGGGCGCGCAAGGTGCCGGAATGGCCATCGAGGACGCTCATGGGCTGGGAATGGCGCTGGCTGAAGCAATGACAGGGACAACAGATATCAGCCTGGCTCTGGCACAGTGGCAGTCCTGGCGGAGGCAACGGGTGCAGCAGGTGACGGAATTCTCATCCCAGGTGAACAAAAGCCGCGTAGCGCTGGCCAGTTCAGGTCAAGACAGGGGCAAAGCCCCGGCGGAACAGGGATTCCGTGATGATATGGACTGGCTGTATGGGTGGCGGTCAGCAGAACAGTGGTCACTCTGGAAGCAGCAGCAGGAGGATAAGTCCTAGACTATCCTTACCTCGCATTTACAGCAACAAAGTCATGAATCTAGAATTCAACATTCAATTACAGTAACTCGGCGGGGGTGTTTTCCAACTAGACTGAGAATGAACATCTATCTACATGAATCAATTGACCTTTGCTTTGGAAGCATAAACACTGTCCACTTAACTGTGTACACAGAACCTAGCTGGTGATTCCAACAGATAAAGTTATGACAATTACAGCTAACAACGCGTCTAATAACGACACCCTATACCGATATCTTTACCAAGGCTGTCTCAGCGGTATAATAAATACCTGGCCGAGACTATCATCCGAGAAGGGACGGTAAAATTTACCTAGAACTCCTAAATCTGTTGCTTTGCTTATGTCTTGAATTTGGTTATGAAAACTATATTAAGGTCTCTACGCGCCAGCTCGCATAAGGAAGCCTATAATCTTATTCTTAATATTGCTACGAGGAGCTAGAAGACGATCAACGCTCCTACTTCACCTATTGTAAAGCTTCGACTACTTCTCATTTGGATTGCGCGATCTCCTTAGCGAATACAGAAGTGGGATAACCGACCTAGCTGTACTAAAGCTATCAACTACGATCTTGACACTCGATGGAACTCTATATTTGTCATGATTAAGAGAGCTAAAGAGTATCGCCAGCAGCTCGAAGATACAGTCAACGATGAGCCAGATATTGAAGCTTTACGTCTCATACCTATCGACTAGAGAGACAGCTCTCTAATATCAAGAAAATCTTGGCTCCCTTTAACGAATTTACCGAGTACGTCTCTCGAGAGAGCCGTTCAATTTATATAGCGGCGCGTATGTTTGAAGAGCTCCGCTCTATACTTATCGCTATGAAAGAACGACGAGGCGAGTGCCAGAAGGTTTCGCTGGCAACAACTGTTCGTGTTTCCGATAGAATCTCACTCCTGGAGCAGTACCATAACTACGTCAAAGACAACGACATATACTATATCGCGAGCCTTCTGGACCCTCGAATCAAGACCAAGTGGCTCAAAACGCTACCAGATGGAGAGAAGATTATCGACCGAATCAAAGCATTCCTGAAGGGACCATATCCCGCCCCAAAACAGCCTGGATCGACTGCTCCAGGCACCAGTTACAAGAGCTTCGAATATCGATTTCTGGAGGACTTTCAGCCTACTCAGTATAACGTTGCTAAGTCTTATATCGACCGGTATTTTGATACTCCTACAATCAGTATTGGTTTTGAAACATACCAGAGCCAGACTGAGTTTATGCGGAACTGGTGGAAGGCCAACAGGCTTGAATTTACCTGTATGGCTAAAGTGGCACACGATCACCTTGCTATACCAGCAGCAGAGGTAGATATCGAGAGATTATTCAATGGCGGGAGAGATTTATTGGGAATACGACGTTTCTCTATGAAAGGCAAGACTCTTGGGACCCTAATCAGGCTGAAAGATGCTGTACGTTGGAAGGCTGAATAGTTGGTGTCTTTTGGCATACATATGCTCTCTGAATACAAAATTATGGATCGTACTAACAGAGCCCTTCTATATGCGACTCCAATGGATGCAGTTGTCACTGTTGGTGAGGTCTTCTTGTAGGGACTGGACATCTCGAAAACTCATCTCAAAAGTCTGGTTATTCTAAGAAAGCTAGATATTGGTTCGCGAACCTGTTCGAAATTCGCGATTTATGACAAGTCGAATCTCCCATAGATTCGAAGCTCGAAAACCAAGGTTCGAATTCGATTCGATTCGTCCGAATTCGCGAATTTCGAACAATTCAAAAATTCTTGCGGAGCGGTAGAACTGGCTAAAATGATTCAAAATTCCAATGATTTATTTTCGGTTTTTGAAGCTACAATGTCTGAGAATACTTCTCAAGAATAAAATCCTTTTTTTTATAGATACTACATGTAGTAGGCCATAAAAATGCCATTTTTTTGATATAGTGAGAAATTTGTTTGAGGTGACGCAAGTGGCGCACACCAACAACGGAACGGTTACCCATTGTGCAGCATTTTTGCCTTTGCGCTTCAAGATCATCAAAAAACAGGTGACATTTTGTCATGATGCTTGACATGACAAAATGTCATCATCGATTTATGGAACCCACATATGACAACTAATTTCCATCTGATTCCGAAAGATAACGGTTCTCTATTACTTATGATATAAAAGCGACAAGTTCATGCACAAATGTGCTCCCTGACTATGAGTTCAGGACTTTTCTATGAAAAGTTACCCATCGTTTATTTTTGACATAATGAATCAAAATGAAATTGGCTTGATTCCGCCTCCTCCAGGCATCATACCAAATTTCAACAATCCTCCATCCACAGGCTATAAGGTTATTATTACCGCAATGGTTACATGGGGACTAGCCTCAGTCCTTGTTCTTTTACGAGTTATTGTGAAACTAAGAATCACCTGTTCGTGGAAAATTGAAGATTGTATTATATTCCAATCGACTTATAAAAAAAATGCTGATATTTCAATCCAGGGTTCCTTGTTGTTGCATGGGTAAGATATAACTAAAAACCTTTATGGTGTTTTAATGCTTGTGGTCCCATAATATTAACTCCTATTAGGTCTTCGCGACCGGTCTATCATTCTTATCATATCCATGTAGGTCACTCGATTTCTGAGCTGGAATCACAACTGATTCTTGAGAGTAAGATGTCTACCATAGTGGTCTTGGTCGAGATGCTTGGAATATTACTTTTTCAACATTTAACCCAAGCTTTCTTCAGGTAATATTCTCATTTTAATCATGATTTACTCAAGGAATGAAACTAATATTTAATTGAATTAGTCAATTATCGCATATGCAGCCCTGTATACAACATCTATATGTTTCACCAAGTTATCTATTCTTATTCTTTACATCCGACTCACCCAATACAGATCTCTTCGTCTCCTTGTTTATGCATTGATGTTTGTGGTCGTTGCGTATTCGCTGATATTAATTATCCAGATTATTTTTCGTTGCCATCCTATTCGCAAAACTTGGGATTTAACTGTCACCTACGGCTCTTGTCTTTCAATTGTAACGATTGGCCTTGTTAATGGATTTATTAATACTATAACCGATGGGTTCTTGTTACTTTTGCCCATTTTCATTGTGCGAGGGATGCTTATGCCTATGCGGCAGAAGCTTTTAATTGCTTTTATACTTATGACAAGTTCCTTGTGAGTATAAAAATTTATTAGCTTAACTGAAGATCTTTAACTAATAATTTCTTCATAGCATTTTCATTATCAGTATCATACGGCTGGCGGAAACCTTTAGTAGCCTCAGCCTCACTAACCCTACAAAAAACTATGTAAGAGCAACTCTTTATGGGTAAGAAGGATACAATTCCCCTTGCTTTCTATCTCTCTCCTGTTCTTTCTTTGATTACTGACACAAGCTTTCTAGACTCCTTGAGGCAAACGTAGCGGTTTTTTGTGCCTGTTTGCCATACATGAAGCCACTGTTGATAAAACTTTGCCCCAGATTCATAGGTGAAGAGGAGAGAAGCAGTGCGCCAGTTCCCATCATTGGACCGTCGCCGCATATAACGACCCAGATGGACGAGGCTACATGACAAAAATGTCATGGAATGTATGTTCACAGGCTGCTTTCATGTTCTGACGCTAAAACTCATAAGATACTGATATATCGGTGTTGTAGTATCCCTATATGTTCTCTGGGAAGATGTTAGGTGTAGCGAACTGTTGGATCGGCTGTTTTGGCAACCTGCCCAGTTATTTTGATTACACACTTAAATTGTATAGGATAATTGAAATGAATTCAGATTGTTGCTTGATTATCTATCCTGACTCTGCCTGGGGGCATTTTGAAATGTCGTGAAAGGAGTCGAAAATTTCGATCTTATATGATGAAAAAGGTAACGGCAACAATCAACGAAATGTGCCATAGGGGAAATGTACCGGGCATGGCTACCATAGGGCAATCTACCACAGGGCATATACTTCCACAAGCATGGCTGCCACAGGGCAAATCTACCATATGGCACATACTCCTAGGGCATGGCAGGGTAAATCTGCCAAGGTTGTGGTGTGCGCTATCAAAAGGTTACTTATCGCAAAAGCGCCCCTAGCCAAAGCGCTGTGCTAGCCGCGCTGCGCGACGCCCAGCCATCCCTGTGGGAATATGTCCCATATGGGCATCCATCCTATATGGCAGCCATCCCTTGTGGAAATATGCTAGCGTAAGGCAGCTAATGTATGTTACATTAAATCCAAGAGATCTTTATATCTACTCCTTGGACTTTGTTAAATCTATCTCTTTAATAAAGTCACTCTTAAAAATTGGGCCTGCTGATATCCTTTCATTGTCATTTTCTGCCATCTTCGACGTATCTATTATGCAATACAACGTGTCGGTGAGCGTGGTCGGTGTTGTATTTGACGTCGAGAGCGTCCGTATGTTGCTCGGGTGACTGAGTGGAGGAGTACGGACGACATCTGCATAGGACGGGGAACCAGTGGGAACGGAAGGGCTGATGGCATCGCGCAGGGATTGAATCTCGCGGAGGATCTCATCGTGGCTGTTCTGAGCGCATGCCTCGGCGTGGGATTGCGGTGTCGGGGGTCTTGGCCTGTTAATCCTGCTTCACGTACGATACTGTAATTTGAGATTTAACACCATCGATTGATGCTTTGAACGTGAGTGGGAGGGGCAATCTAGAGGCTGTTCTACGTCATTCTGTGGTCTTAAACTCTAACCAAGATGGCTAGATCAGCCACAGAATAGCTATTCCGGGATCAGGAGGCACGGTACGATATTGGCCAACAAATATCAACAACCCCACCTATCCTTGTGGGGTTGGCTCGCCGATCAGTCTGGCCGAAAGTGCTGGAGCGACGGAGGACGCTCTTTTAAAGATGCAAGAAATTGGAACGTCCTCTCGCATTGCATTCACCAAGAGCATAGATCATAACGAAGAGTATATTGATTCCTTGATCTCTAAAGTCGACAATGATAGTACGTGAGACGCTCGACTTGGCTATGTACGCGCACTTACTGTGATTCCAGTCCTCCAGGCTCATCTCGCAAGTCAAGACGGCAATGCAAGAGAAACCCCGTTACGAACCAGCTCCTCGGATTTACGGACGCCTCCAGCTTCGCCACCAAAACCGCGTGGGTCCTATCGGATTTTCAATGCTCAGAAGAGGGACTATGCAAATCTAGCTCGGGCAGAACCAAGGAAGAGAAGAAAGCGGCAGATTCTACAGCGTTCAAAAAACGTGCTGATGAACCTTCGCTCGGTCGTACTGCTGCTGAAGGAACGATCGAGGAGGGTTGTCAGTGTTCCAATCAAGAGGTAGGCCACTCCTGTCCTCTGAATACATTTGTCTATACACTTAGTCTGAGGTTTACCTTCCTTTAATCTAGCCCTTGCCTGGCGACGATCATGTGAAAGGTTCTCGCCCTTTGAATCTCCCGGCCAACGATTTCTCGTCCTACCAGCCAGACACCTCGTTTACAATGAAAGCAATGGCCTCAATATTGTTTGAATGTTTTGTGGTTAATTTGGGGATCTCACGATATGGTCATCGAACCTCCATGGGCCCAACAACGACCGATCCCGATAAGATCCGGAAATATGTCGATGAGATTGCAGAGTATAGTTAGGAGAAAGCAGTCAGTATCATTCAAAGGGACAATGCTCTGGCAATAGGCAAGGGTTTGCAACATCGGCACAACGAAACAATCTTCTGGAAAATCATTCTCAAGGGTGCTGCGCTGATCGATCATACAAAGCTGCCGTCCGCGAAAGGCCCGGCTGACGGATTCACCGTAGCGGAAAAAGCTGCGACCCGAAAATTCATGGAAGACGCTGGATACGGATTGAGTGCCCAAAACCAGCGACACTGTCGCAATTTTTGGAAAAACCTATTCAAAATGCGTGAAGTCCGAATTGAAAAATCCCTCTACTACCGCACCAAGGAATTCGACAGTTACTGCAAGGGGTATCCGAAGACCTCAGAAATCTCCCTCGTTGATGCAATTCTGAAGTGGCAGACCGAATACAGACCCCATATTGAACAACTAGAAACACGGGCTCTCAGGCTCGGGAAAGGCGACTATGCGCGCCTGTGTGATCTTGAAAATCCTCAGGTGGTAGAGAGGTTGAAAGTTCGGGAGTCAAATCCACGGGTTCACGGTGTCCAAGTCTCCTTTTCCTGCAGTCCCCTGAGCCCATTCTGAGATGAACAACTGCTACGAGTACAGACAGTTAGGATATGCTGTCTATACAGAGCGATACTAATTTGAGGTTCACTTTCCTGCCCGGCCCATCTCTAAAACACGTTGGAATATCAACTCATTGGGACCAAGACATGAGATGACGTCATTCAACCTTATTGGTGGTGATCACCGCGGATGGTGATAATAGAACACGGGCTACACCCTGCGGTATCATCGAAGTCCTCAGTGATTTGCTAAGAAAGAAAAGTCATAACGTAGTTCACGGGTCAACCGGACACACGGTTAACCCGGACACCCGTTACGCCATAGTAAATGCGGTTTTTCACAACTTCACATTTCACCCCCTAATGCTAAGCGTATAGTCCAAACCTATCTTAGGAAAGGAAAGGTGGATTAAATATGTTGAAAATCTAGACTATAGCTTCGCTGAAGGATTTTCTCCGAGTGATATCGTCTATATAGTAACTAGATTATCGCTGATTTATTCCGGGATTCCTTAAGGCTATTATTACGCTAGCTCTTTAATTATATTTTTGGACCGGAGCAAGAATTAGAGCTTTTATACTAGTGTATAAGGATAAAGACGAAAGGGGCCTAAGATATAAGGTGAGTATAGTTTAGCGTTACGGTTATGCTAGGCTAATTCTTGTCTAGTATATCGAGCTAGTTTTATTTCTATCCTGTGCCCCCTAAGTACGGACGATCTTCTCTAACTTAGGCCAACATCGTCTACAGGCGGGTTACGAGAAAGAGATAAATAAAGAGCGGTAAATAAAGTTTGCTAATGGCTTAAAGATTTTATAATGAAGAATAATTAATGCATATATCTCTGATTAGAAGGCAGAGGGGTTTGTATTTCTGGATAACAAAGGGAGTGACAGTGGCCGCCAGATAGGGGGATCGATTGGAGTGATTCAGGATAGGTTGATCGTCTGATAAAACGAGTCAAGAATGAATCCTCAATTCCAGCGGCACATAGTGACACCTAACTTGTTTAATTTACAAGTAGCATCGAAGCTGCCGATCTCCCATTTTCAAGTGTGCCAATAAGAACAAGAAGGACATAGTCCTTGGGAACTGTTGCAATGGTCGGATAGCGGTCACTAATATGCGGCCTTGAGACCACCTCTTCCCAGGTCCATTGTCCATCTGGGGTAGACAGAACACCATGTTCCTTCCCGTCAACAAATACCTGGAGTGAGAGAACTTTGATTTCGGGGTCATTAGATCGTAACGTTCCGGCCAATGAAACACGATACACATGTGACTCTGAGACTTCGACCTTCTTCCAAGTGGCTGATGATATCGTCAACTGCGGCTTCGCCATGGTAGATTTTCCATGGTAAGAGTTTGACAATGAAATTTGATCGGACGGGATTGGAGGCGTCAGCCCAGGAGCAGTTCGGGCTCGAGAAGCTGTTTCATAAGCATATGCATATCGGAGGAGGTCATTGTCTGCATGAGATTTGGAGGCAAAGGTTATTCCAACCGGCATTTTCTGGTCTTCCAAAGTACCCATGGGCAGCGTGATGCAGGGAACTCCGACATGTTTGAGAGCACGACCTCCATTGGAATATTTGACGCCATCCTGCAGAGCATGGAGCATCGAATTAGGATCTTCATCGGCGTTTGCATATGGCACATCACCATTGGTCGGGAAAGCAAGCATGTCAAACCCATTGGAGTCCATCCAGCTCTCGAGCTCTACTTTCCGCATATTTTCCAGCGCGTGCACTGCAACCTCAACGCCTGGAAGTTCAAGAAGTGTGTGTTTTCTGTCTCTGAGAGAATCAATCATACCAGAGTAACGAACTTGGTTTTGCTGTTCAGTATATCTCGAAGGATCGTCCATGGGCGAGATTCGTGGATGAATGATCTGCGGATCAGCCACCAGAAGATTCGGGTATTTTGAGTCGCTATTTTGGCGAAGAAAGTCGTCCCATGCCATGGCAATCATTTGACATCGCTCAATATCTGTCCACTCCTTCGAAATTCCGGGTACATTGCAGCTTTGACCAGGGAAATCTTCTTTCACATATTTCTCGAGAAGAGGAAAGTCTGTCTCGACAATCGTAGCCCCCAAGGATTCAAGGACAGTTCGAGCTTTCCCCCACAGATTTTGCACTGGCGCAATACAGACGTGAAATGGCTTGGCAGATTTTATCCCGAGAAAACATCTAGGGACGGCAATGCGCTTTCCATGGAGCGCATATGGGTCCTTCAGGAGTTGGTAATCATCAGGACGAATTTCGGATGCTTTGGGAATTGTCACAAATGGTTGATTTCGCCAAAAGTCAATTCCTAGATGTGCATCTGAATCGTCTGCAATAATGACGTTGAGGACATGGAACAAGTCTTCCATTGAGCGCGTATGGGGAACAATCACATCGCATGTTGGGTAGAGCGGCCACTGCCCTCTGTTTGAGATTACACCTCGTGATGGGGAGTAACCGATCAGAGCATTATTGGAAGCAGGTGCGCGTCCTGAAGAGACAGTCTCTCCTGCAAAGCCAAAGGCGGCAAAACTTGCTGCAGTCGATGTACCACAGCCGTTGGAAGAGCCCGATGCATAAGCCGTCGTAGAGTAGTCAGAATTGTAAGGACTCTCTGCTCTTCCGTAAAGCCCGCGTTGACTTCCACCATCAGCCATAGCTGGCATATTTGTCTTGCCAAGTATAACAGCACCAGAGTCTCGTAGAAGCGAGACAATTGCTGCATCTTCGGAGGCAACAAGGTCAGCAAATGCCGGCGAACCTGCTGCAACTGTCATGCCCTTGATCATGAAACTGTCTTTGACTGTGAAAGGGATGCCTTCCAAGGGTCTTGGTCTCTGACCACTGGCTCTGTAGTCGTCTGATTTCTGTGCCTCCTCAAAGGCATTCGGGTTAAGAACGCAGATCGAGTTTAAAGATGGCCCTCGGGTGTCGTAGTGGGCAATTCGATGAAGGTAAAGCGACACGAGTTGAACACTTGTAATGGCTCTGATTTCGAGGGCATATAGAAGGTCTTGGATGCTAGCCTCAACAAGGTTCAGATTCTTTGGTGGCAATGGCATGTCGAGCGGGGGCATTTTGAAGCCGATCTTCGAAGTGAGAACTTGATTAAAGAATGTAATCGAGAAAAAGGAATTTAATGAGGTATTAAAGCCAATTAGTGAGAATTTGTCCCTTTTTATGTTCAAATGACGCTGGAGACACATTTATTTACGCAGCAATAGTTATACTAGCCATACCGATCGCTGATTGGCCGTGAAGCTCACTCGGGTCGACTTGCAATTTCGCGGCTCGACTTTCCCAGACTCTTTCACCAGACGGACCTTGCCTTGTCGTGAGTTTGGGAGACAATATCCGTGCCTTATCCGTGCCTTTCTGCCCACCCCGACCGCTCCACTCGTTAGCGGAGAGCTTCGCGACTTTGGGTTTCTAAATCAAAATGGCGTGGATGCCCATTTCAGCCATTGTTTTTCTGCAATCGACTCTGACAGTCTTTTGCATTTCCCAACACTTCCTCATGATCTTCAATACAGTTCCGCTATTCCCACATCTCCCAGCTTCCCGTACTAATTCCACTATCAAATTCTCAAAGAACGGATAGGCATACGGCTGGGCCATATATCCTATCACACATAGGGCCCACACCGAACCTGTGAGAGAGTAGTGCTTCGGCTTATTTTGGAGTGCAGTAATACTCCGGGAAATCGCGCTCTGAATCTTAGGGAGGGCTAGTAACGGCCCTGATACAATCGTATGCAGCAGAACCAAGCAAGCCAAGGCGAAAATGCGAGTCACCCAGTTCGTCAGAGATTCAGTCTCTATGTATCCCTAAAGTGAAGCTGATTTTAGCATTCGATTCTCGAAATGGGAGGTGAGAGCAACATACTCTTGACAGGTCAAGATTCTGAATTCCGTTTTCGAGGCGCATCTCTATCTCTTGTCCCTTTCCAGCAAGCTCTCGTACGCTCAGTAAACCATTATTTTCCTGCTGCTCCCTCCAAATACCAAAGTTTGCTAGATCCCCAATTATAACCATAACCCAGTTATAGCAACCCATAAGGTCTGCTGTATTCAATCCCGGAGTACGAAGCCAGCTTTGGTATGGAAGTCGGGGTGGCCTTCCTGTTGATAGAGAGGCGAAAATATCGTACTATACGACAGTAACCATGAGGAACTCTAATCCTTGGTGGCATCCTATATTATATACATAAGAACCGATTGAACTTGAGTGAGCACCATAGGCGTAGGACTCGGAATTAAAGATAGCTTCTAGTAATAGTAGACTCATGACGGAGGTGACGGCATCCAAATGTAGTAGCTAGTTATGCTCTACGCCACTGAAGACCTACAGATGATTTTAGCTCTATTACACATAGACTCCAAGGTGAGGCGAGTACCTGGAAGCTAATCAACATAAAACTGCAGGCGAGAAATTCGGCTAATTGCGCGTGATCATCACGTAGCTTATCCCTATTTTTGCTCATAAGGTCGCAGAGTTCACGTAGAGCCCTAGAATAATGATCTAGAGCCTTCTGTTTCCGCTGAAATTCCTCTTCTGTGCCCAACAGTACGCTTTGGTGAAGTAAAGATAGGCTCAAAATCGCGTGGTACAAAGGCCCTCGTTTTTTCAATAACAGGAATAGCCAACCACGATTCCCTAGCCGAGATCGAGAGTCATAATATAGAAATTGCCACTAAAACACTTGGTCAAGATAATACATTAACAAGCATACCTCTTGATCATCAAGACCGTTGGAGTTTAGGCTGTTTTCACAAGTCACTACACAATCTTCAACAGCATTATTATAGGCAAGAATTTCGTCCCGTTCATTAGGGCGGTTCAGAGCTTCTAAATCACATTGTGATAGGGCCGCACTTTCCGCTGGCTATAGTAGAGATAGAGAGGACGAAAGATATAGAGGTGGGTTAACTGTACTATTCTGGGTTGCTTCAGTCGTTTCGACTACTTTATTTGTTAGGGTTTCAGATGCAGTTCGTTCCCTCTTGCTTCGGCTCCGGCGAGCGCGACTCTGCAACTTCTTAACATAACGAAAATTCTGATTAATCGCAGCTTTAATGCAGGACCGTTCCTTTTGCTCCTCTATGCCACCGTCCATCTATGCAGGCTTTGGCCCATAGCCGTAGCAATAAACGTGTCGGTCGGTGCATTCTTTGCAAGATGGTGTATCCAAGTCACACTTGCGATGTCTTACACGGCAGGTCCAGCAACCCGGATTACCTGTCGGCATGATAGTCAATAGCTGGGTGATTCATAGAAGGCAAGATTAGCTGAAGCAGAGAAACAGCAAGAAGAGAATTTCCTGGTGGGACCTTCAGATTAGGAAATTCGAGCCACCAGATTACGTAACATACCGGAGACCAGGCACTGGACACAGGGAGGTATCCTGGAAGGAGGCAATAATATAGATTAACACCGCTGCAAGTCGTATTGATACAGTTTTACAAGGCTGGCAGGCATATGAACAGTGATGATCTTTTATTTGCACCATCAACCTCAATACCCCTGGTCCATCCATCTCCGGTGGACATAGTACCATCTGAGAACAGTGACTTTTCATATGGTTTTCATATTTGACTGGCGCCCTTAATTGAAAATCTAGATATACATAGATCTCGAGACAGTCCCACTAAGTTACACAAAGAACAACCTATTGCTATGATAGGTAGCCCTTAGGTAGCCAGTTCCAGAATTCTAAATCTAAATATGAGAAAATCGCTCCAGCTAGATACGCTTCAAACTTCCACTCTTTCCGGATATCTTGTTGAATGTGCTCGGAATCATCTTCAGAGATATTTTTGGAGCCATCTTTCAGGTTATTGCCCATAGTATGTCTGATAGGATGACAGTGAGATTTAGTCGAATGTAGGGATCCCCACTGTAGGTCTGTTCTCAGATGCCGTTATCGTGTGCCGTATTCCTTCAATTCCTAGCACTACAGGAAAAAGGGTGACTGATAGATCCGGTTCGGAATTTAGCAATCTAAAACAGATCAGCGACTTTTAGTTATAGAGGACTATATCAATGAGAAGATTGTGGTACTTACCACGCCTGTGATGCTCGTATAGAGTCCACATCCAAGCACGCAAATACCGATCAAGAATAGAAACAAGTTAGAAAATGCGTGTCGAATATTATGGTTCTCGGACTAATCGCCTTCTCTCAGGAGAAAGTACTATATGACCGGAGGTATATAGAGGGCAAAGCCCGAGGTTAGAAGATAGCCTATAATAGCCAGGAGCTCTGAGAAGAATGGAATAGCTTCTGCAATAATCTATGCTACTGTCGTGACGAGAGAAACAGTTACTAACTAGGTAACCTAACCCTTGGTGGTGTTAACGTAACGAACCACTGATTGTTGATACATTCTACCATGAATAAATCGACAGGCAACTGTTGTATTGATTGAATCGGAGATGAATATGATAGGTAGAGCCACGCTAAATGCAATTTTAGCAAATAGAGGCCCTGCTGATAACAGTGTAGGAGACTGGACGTCTTGCCCGATAAAAGCATATATCGTAGCACTAGTAATGGTATATATTGTGGTCTGGGTTACCCCTAAGGTAAGAATCGATTTTGTGAAATCCTTCGGAGTATGTATCTTATCCATAAACGAAGGCTGAGCGGAGGCGAAGGAATATGCAAAAACAATGTTGGAAATGGTAATAAAGGCTTCACTTAGTGTAAGGTCATCTTTAGCCCAAGAGGACCAATCTAAAGATACGGGGCCTGTGTTTTGAATGCCAGTCGCGATTATGCTAATTCCAATAGCCACAATAATAGAAACAAAGTCGATGTAGCCGAGAATAGAGATTTTAGCAAAGGAAGGTGGCACTGCGAAGGCAAAGAGAATCACAGCAGACACAACACTGAAGAGAATGGCGTATATATTGCTCTGTGTTATTGTAGCGAGAGCAAGTTTTCCGGTCAAACAATGCGAGCCGACTGTCAGGATCATTAGAGCCATGAAAGCCACACTAAAAATCTTGTCTCCAATACCACCCATCAAAAGATGTCCGAAGTTAACATAATAAGGAAGATGTGGATACTTAAGCTTCATGAGACCGATAATATAACTCGAGTAAAGGGCAATCATACCGAAGCCGGCTGTCAAAATAACTCCCGCAACCATTCCTAGCGTCGCAAATGCGGAGGGAAGACTCAAGCTACCGAGGGCGACAGATTGAACAATCAAAACAATAGTCAGGCGCTTCCATCCCAGGCGATGAAAATGCCTATCGCCCTCGGCAGCTTTGATATGCTCGTGGTTGCCCATAGTGTGCCCGAAAATTTCACCTTCGGATTGCTCAAGATCCGTCGCGTCCTTGAGAACCCTCTCTTGAGACAGATACTGTTGAATATCACGGCCGCTAAGCTTATGGAGGGGATTAGGGTCAGAGGTATAAAGGCGGGCTACCCCTCTTCTGTAAATAAGTCAACTAGAATCAATCAGACAATCACTTATCTCAACACTACCGGAAAACAAATATCTGTTCACCACTTCTTGCAACACGGCTAACAAGAAGCTCTACATAGTCCCAAAATAAACATAAGAGCTGCTTCTCATTTTGTCAACTCTCCTGAGAGGTTTCTATCGGGGCGACATGGCTCATATCTGTGTTGGCCTCTTGCTCGGGAACACCAGCAGTAGACCCAAGAGGAATAGATGTCCTTTAAGATTCATATCAAAAGACTGTCCCATATAGACCGTCGTCCGAAGATTTGGAACCCGTATGGTTCCTGCGGGAGTCCTGAGTCCTGCGGGAGTCCTGAGTCCTGAATCAATAAACGGATTGACCCGGCTACTTGGAGTATCTCGTTCATATCCAGGGACATTATCTCCGTGAAAATCTCCGACCCCCGATCACCGAGCTTCTCCGGTATCTGCTGGTCAATGATGCACCAGTAGTTGATCGAGATGCGAACAAGCGAACACCTCTCTCCTGGGCTGCAGAATTCAGTGCATTGGGCACCGTAAAGATTTTGATAGCAAGGGGAGCAGAAGTCAACTCCACGGATGACATGTACACAACTCCTCTATCGTGGCTGATACATGCTGGTGGAATGAATAGCCAGAATGCGGCCACAAAGGCCTACCTGGTAAGCAAGGGCGCACGAGAGAGGGGGGCTAAGTGACGCTGGATTCTGAAAAAAATAGGGATGTTTTGACAGAACTTGTGCATCAATCAAAAGCATGGAAAGAAGCCAATCCTGGTGCTCTAAAGTTCCATCGAAGGATGGGCGAGGTCATCGGCACGGACCAGTGGCCTATCGGTCCGATTAAGAGTCGAGCACGGCCCCGTGCTCGTCAAGCATTGCAAGGGCGGCGCCGAGTTGATTGACGTGGAGCTCTGCGGCAATCGAGTAAATAACGGTCTGAGACGGTTCCTACGAACAAGAATTTTTTTTCCCTTGATATCTCGTATTTTCATTCTTCCACCGACTTACAGACAATAGTATCACAATTAAAGTACAGTAACGACCGTTTGCATTTAGGAATCTCGACTTCTATCTTAGATTCGGTGCTCTTGTAGATTGCACAGTCTGCAGGAGTTTGCAGCGAACCACTACTCGCAGTCACCGTTGATTACGACGTACAACACCAGAAAACAAGCTTGGGACTGTCTTGAAACTTCTTGTACTTTATAATGGGCACAGAGTTAGCCAAGGGAATTGACAACTCCTCATGAGCGATCGAAGAAATCCACCCTATGGCTGGCAGTTTTGTTTGCTACTTTCACGAGAATTTTCAGCCTCCATCCCGTGCCAGTCGTTTGAGATACGTTTTCTGAATTCGGTGAGTTGGTAGTCGACACACTGAAAGGGACACTTACTTGTAGCAGTTCCTCCACAGAGAGACTCCTCAGCTGCTCCGGCAGGTGCTGGACCTCGGCGCTCCATGGATGCGGGGGTGGATTTTTCTTCATTAATTTCTCCACAATTTCCGCCAAAGCGAGGAGTTTCAAGGTGGGCGCATCCATCTCCGACGCAGTGATCTCGCAACTGCGCTCCACCGCAGCTGAAATGTGCCTTTAGCATCCCACGTGTAAGGTGTGAGTGGGGCGGTTGGTTCGTTATGCTTACCGATTTTGACTTGGCCCGACTCGGTGAGCAAGATGGTGTCCATGCTCAATATGGGGAGCGCTTTCCCCTGGTCACGCAAATACTTGATTCCGTCAAGAACCTGTTGAATGTGAGCAACAACACCCGTTCACGACAAGACTCTCGAAACGCACCGGTCTGACGATCGCGGCAATATCGCTCTCAGTAATCGGACATCTCGATGCCAGAATCTGGTTGACAGAAAGCTCCACTGGTTCCCATACCAGAAACGCGTCATCTCCGTGATGGTAACAATCCAGCAGACTTGGAAAGCTAGGATGGGAGACCTGGGTCATCGACTCGACCATAGTAACAACTGATGATGACTGCTGTTTTAGTCGTTCGATGTTGACTAGCTCGGCCTTCTTCGTTCGACGATGAGCAAGGCAAACGCTGCGACCAAGGAAGATCTCCACAACAGGTTCATATGTCTGCCACAGATCCTCTGTCGTCTGTAGTATCTTTAGAGGGGAAACTCTGATTGTCGGTCCTGCTGCGGGAATAGTCACCGACTCGGGTCCGCTGTTCATTTGCTGGTCAGGTGTTTGGGATACACGAGGTTGGGTGTCAATTTTGAACCAATTTGGTTTGTCATCTAACCAGACCGTCGTCCGTCGACTGGGTTCCGGATGGGTAGAGTTCATCTTAGATAGGTTAGCTGGGTAATGAAACCGATAGGACTTGACGGTCACAGTCGATGAACTCCTAGAGAGTGCGGACTTGCTCATTTATATGTGTTGTGATATGAGGCTGTCGCTGATCAGGAATGAAGCCGCAACATTCGGAAATAATTCCTACACTATCTATACGAAGTTCCAAGTTGATTGGAAATCAACTTGGACTTCATGCTGTATATATGGCCTCTCTGTAGCCCTCTGAAATGGAAATAATTAAGCTTCCTTTTATACTACAACAGGTTATGAGCCCGAGTGTTTGCACTCGGGCATTCGTATTTCAGTCTAGTGGTAAAAACAGCTTATTTGCGACGAACCGGTACTTGAATTAAACCATCATCCATCCAATCCGATTTACCGTAGAGTCTAAAAAAAGGAATGCAAACGAGAAAGGAGAGATTGGGCTCCCTGGTGGTCTAAAATTGCTAATTTAGATGGTCCGTTTGTACATTCGGTTAACAATGGTGATGAGGTTAGGCTGACCATTCTTCAAAGTAAATTAGTGAGGGTCGGGTCGGTTGTCAATTCTGTTGATTTATGCGTGAATCCGCCTGGATTGACAATTAACCACCTCAAGGTGACCTAAACTGAACGTTGGAATTCATCTAGACCCGACCGGCAGACCCACCACCCTCTCTTTTCACCACCCTCTCTTTTCACCACCGTCGCCGCTCTAACTTCAGGTTTCAACCGTTTTGACATTAAACAGTTAAACATCATGGGGTGGAAAAGGCAAAGGGGGAGATCAGCCTCTATGAAAGTGTTCGGCTCGCTCTGGGTGGTTTATCCTTGTGAACTCATGAACACGGTAACCAACAGAACGTAAGTGTCGTTCATGACCGATCAACTGGTGGACACGTGCCCAGCCTCCCCCACGTGCCTGACCCCCGGTTTCTTCACTTTCTTTTCACCACCGTCTTTTAACCACCCGTCCTTATTGCACAATTCCATAGACGTAGCCGGACAACCTTCAGTGGCAGGCCGGAATGATCATCAAATCTTGTTCACAATTTTTTCACTGTTAGGCTCCTCTCCCCACCCTCTTTTCACCATCATTCTTGACTGATGTTAATTCCATGGCCATTCAACTTACGAAATTCAACCTCCAGTTCCTGAGTCGCCAAGTTACTGGTAGCAAAAGGTTGCGACAAATAAACTAAAGAGACAAATAGCCAATGACTCCAACCAACTAAATATCGTAAAAAACTTCACAAGCTTGTTTTCTCGAATGTAAATGCTATCCCTCATTTTATTTCGTGCTAATGGGGTCACTATTTTGGCAAGTGCATGTGAATATGATGAATAAATGAATTTTATTTTTCGATTAAACAATTTTTGCACGTACAACTTGGCTTAACGTACTCTATCCAGGCGTTGCCTAAAATTGACAGATAGATGCATCAATCAAGATTGCTTTGTGAGATCATCTCCTGGTAGATTTATGTAGGTGCCTAGCTTATGGCAAGATGTAAAGAATGGAAGTCGAACTTCCAGTCAGAATCGGCTTTGAGTGACACCTGTACTTGAACGGTGATGCTGAAAGCCAGTTCTTGGTAGATTAATAAGACCCCTATTTGTGCCTGCTCATGCTCAATATATAGTGGTTATATAGAGGTTTTGAACGCTGGAAAATGAATTGTTACCAAGTTTCGTATTAAGTTGAAATATACATGTTCATTGAATACAAAAAATACCACATTGATACAGAATCCTGTGGCCGTGTCAAAGTGTGGCTGTGCAGTGTAGTCATTTGGTATCCAGTGTAGTCAAAATGTACATCCATGACAAGCCTAAACGAAATTTACAATACGAGTTAACTTACAATACTGCCACTTCGAAAACCTCAGTTTTAACTACTGGTTGGAGCAACCCTAGTTTGGATGGTCGAACGTTGAACAAAATAGGTACGTTCAGCATCAACAGATAAGGCATGATCTCTCCCAAGCTCTTGAAAAATATGAGCGAGCAGCTTCACCGCAAAGGTATTCTGACTCAAACGAGGCGAAACTAATCTGAGGCAACCATTTGTGATCCGGTGGGCTTAACCTCAACTTTTGACTCAATACTTACAGTGAGAAGAAAGTGAAACTCGACTAACAGCTCCCAATCCATTTAATTTTACGCCGTAAATCTAGGATCCGGTAAAATCCCTATATAACTATTATGGTATACAGTTACAGTGACTACGCAAAAGTATTTGGAACACCAGCCCCACATAGCCTTATTACATAATATTCTGCCGGTCCTAAGCTTTCACTAAAACCTCATAATAGTAACAAATCTACAAATCTACTCACTTACAATGCTCGTAGGCCTTACAGAAAGTAAAATTATCCGTTTTTTTATCGAACCTGTAATCCATATCGCGTTGCTCGCATCTTAGCGGAGACTGCACTTACGATTTTTGGTAGGCGGTAGGGGTTACTTTAGGCGGTCAGTAAAGTGGGGTCGGGGGTGTTCCAAATACTTTTGCGTAGTCACTGTAGGTCTACCATTAAGGACTACTAGAACGGGTAGTCTAGTATAATATACCTCATACCTAACAGTAGACTATACTACGGAGGATTATAACTAAGGTAACTATACCCTATTCGCACTTACTCATAGTGACTACCAGGCACCGCGTAATAACCACACGGAGGAAAGACGCTGCTATTGGGAATCCCATTTTCTAGAAGTTTTCTTAACTTGCGAGTCAAGGACTATTTGAGTTTACTTCTGAACTCAATATTGAATTTCTAGAACAGAAGATTCATAAGCATATTGCAGCTGTTTTACATTGTACTTCGTGACCTTCGTGCTTCCGACGCTTCATAACGAAACCCCGAAACACCGAACCCACGAAACACCGAACCCACGAAACACCGAACCCACGAAACACCGAACCCACGAAACACCGAACCCACGAAACACCGAACCCACGAAACACCGAAACCACAAAACCCCGAAATCCCGAAACGCTTACTTGAGATACCAGGTTTAAGGTTCTAGCGCCCGTGGCACAGGCCAACCCTCTAGATCCGGCGCGGGGTCAAATAGGGGTTAGTTGGCTAACAGTGGAAGAAGCACGAGCATTGCCATGCTGTGACTTGGATTTGCATATTCCATGGCATAAACACGCGCTACAATAGCTGAACACCTCGAGCCTAGGTCGAAGAAAAAACTTGAACCTGATACCCCTGAATCCTTCTGCTTTCAGCGTTTGTTTTTCTGTACCCTGCCCGACAGTCAAGTTCACTAAATACAATACCTTAGATAGTCCTCGCCCAAACTTGGCAGTATATCCTCAGAATGGGATCCGCAACCATTCTACCTCTCCAAGTCGTGATTGTCGGAGCGGGCATCGCAGGTCTCACCGCAGCCGTCGCCTGTGCTGAGAAGGGATTCTCAGTTCGCCTCCTCGAATCCACCGCCAAATTCTCACACGTAAGTCACATACCTAAAGGCTATTTGCACCAGCTAAAAGTGTGCCACAGCTCGGCGCAGGTCTTATGATATCCGCCAACGCAAGCCGCGTGCTCTGTGGCATGGGACTCCGTGAGCAGCTGGATAAATGCGGCATCCACATGAAGCGTGTGGTATTTAAGAAATTCGACGATGGCACGGTACTCGATGAGCGAGTATATGGCAATATCGAGGCGGAGCTAGGCGGGCCAAATTGGCAGATTCATCGTGCAGATTTACATGATGTCTTGCTTCAAAAGGCGCAGGATCTGGGGCTGATAATCTCGATGGGTGCGAAAGTGAGCAAGTATGACCCGGAGAACCCAAGCGTGGTCTTGGAGGATGGAGAATTTGTCCAAGGCGATGTGATTTTGGTGGCCGATGGTAAGTCCAACTGCAACGACCAGTATGGCCACTGTCTGACGGTCGTATGATAGGATACCGTTCTCGTGCTCGAGAAGAAATTTTGGGAAAGTATATGGAACCTCGTTTCAGTGGAAATTCCGCGTACCGCTCTATCATTCACCGCAGCAAGTTCGAAAACGATTCTGAGCTAAGCGAGTTAATGAAGACCGAGAATCAGACTACTTACGTGTGGTAGGGTTTACTATCCCCAAGCTTCTCTTGGGTCGTCGTGGCTAAATCATCAAAACAGGGTCGGAGAAGGCTGTCACATACTGGGCTATCCAATCCGACGCGGAGAGTATTTCAATGTAGTATCCACTCAACCAGCCATCCGCACCACGGGACCGAACTACGTTGTTCCTGTGACGGCCGCTGAGTTCCATGATAGATACGCACACTGGGATCCATTGCTTGAGAAAATCCTCAGCAAGCTCCCCGAACAAAACGTCCTAGAGTGGAAGCTCTGTGATTTGGAGCCTTTGAACACCTGGTTATTTCCCGGAGGAAAGATTGTCTTGATTGGAGATGCTTCACACGCAATGCTTCCATCAGCGGCACAAGGCGCTGGTATGGGCATTGAGGATGGTGCAGCCATTGCAGAGCTTCTTGCGCGGATAGAGAACCGGTCTCAGATCCCTGCCGTATTGAAAGCTTTCCAAAAGCTACGACTTCCAAGATGTACAGAGGTTGTGGACAGTGGGAGGCAGAATGCAAAGAAATGGCACAACAAAGACGCAAAGGGTGGAACAGTGACTGATGATATTTGGGATTATGACGTGGTAGCCGCGGCAAGACAAATAACTCTTGAGATCTGATCTAAGGCTACGTCACGGGGAAGTAATATAGCGTTGTATGAAGTATCAAGCTCGAATTTATTTCATGTCAAGGTCATGCAAACAGCTTAATCTTCATTTCTCGCTTACCATTGTAGTTTCTTGCTTCCCAGGCACGGTCCCAACTGGTTAATAGACACAGTCTCAAAGCCCAACCCGAACGAGAGTGTGATGAATTCCCTAGTAATGAGTCCAGAAATTGAATTTCAGCTCCGTACTTTGAAACTTTGACCCTTCCTGAATGTGAAATGGTTTTATGAGTAGTATTCTAGCTGGTTTAAATATGTGTTATACTTTTGCCATTTCGGTAAGTGATTTATGTTCACTGTATATTGTTATGTCAATCTATTGCAACAAAGCATAATGGATGCAGTCAGATGCTCGTCTTGGATGCCACCTATGGAAGTGTTATAATGCTGTGCAATTCTGTGCAATTCTGTGCCTATATCATCAACACTTACAGTAAACTCCCGTTTTCGGCACGACCCTCCGTGCAACAGAATTTTGGTGTGCCTAATGAAAATGTGCCTGTTATATTGCGCTAATCCTAAACAGGCAACCACTAGTCTGTTTTTGGTCAAAAGTAGTCATCCACTCTCCTCTGTTTCCTGCCATCTATCTGCAGCCGAGAAAAAAGATGACCGATCCTCTCTATATCACGTAGATCTCTCTCAGTAATACCCTCTTGGTGCTGAGCAAATTGAAGAGCTTTATGCATATATTCAATAGCTTCAACACGTGATAGGATATCCAGTGGTGGTCCGAATATATATTCGTCCTGGTCATCCTCGCTATCCTGTGCATCACCACCAACACCACCGGCGTTGTCTTCTGAAAAATCAATGATAATATCAGACATATCAGGCTCTTCAACGTCGAAATTTTCACCTGGAGGGTCTAGGAATTGCTCTAGTTCCATAACCTCTGGACCAGGAAGCCGGTCGGTTACCTGTGTGTATAGATCACCTAGTTGAAGGTCTTCAGATTGAGACACATTCATCTCATCAGTGCTAGGACTAATGCCCGTGCTGTTCACAAAGCACTTCCGAATAGTCTCATCTAGAACGTCACGCCTCCAGGTCTGGATAATCTAATGTAGTGTGTAATAGAGGCTCATTCTCTGCGTAGGGTCGACGCCCCGGTCTATCATATTGATCATCCATGTCATCCATTTCTTCCGATAATGGTGCTTAAGGTTTCGGATAATACCTTGGTCTAATGGCTGGTAGATTGAGGTCGAGTTTGATGGCAAAAACACGACTTTGATGTTAGATGGCGGCGGCGTATTATCAAGCGCAGAGAGATGGGCACTAAAGTTATCGAGTAATAGAACGACTCGTCTTTGTGTGCCAATATGCCTATAGAACGAGCGAAACCATTCTTGCATAAGGTCGCCGCGCATCCATGCGTTCTTATTCCTTCGCCAGACGCATCCAATTGATGATATATTAAGTTTTCGTAGAGCGCGAGGCGTCTTTGCAGTGCCTATTAACCAGAGAGGCATTCGATCCGAACCAGTCGCATTTGTCGTTACTGCGAGAGTAATCCTAGTCTTATCTTTCTTATATCCAGGACTACCCTTGCTTGATAGACCACCATTAGGCATTCGACGCCAGAATAGACCTGTTTCATCCATATTGTAGATATCGTTTGGCTGATATTGGTCACAGATAGCTCGAACAGCCTCCATCTCGGTATGTATCGAGGTCGGGACCGATGCAGATTCGCCGTAGGAGGTATGATATCGGATCGAATGGCGCTGTTTAAACCGGGAAAGCCACCTTTCAGAGAAAAGCGGCGGGTCGAGGTCTTTATACAGTCATTCTCGAAATTGCCTTGACCGGTACACACTTCGATTCTCTTTGTTGGTCCCACTGCCAAGCCCTTAGCGCGGATAATATATTGTGCCCACAACATTAAGTTGCGGTCCGACGTGGTCTGGCCCAGCTAGTACAGCAACGTTTAAAACGTGGGGCCATCAACTTAACACGTCCAGCCAAATATATGATCCGCGCTAAAGGCTTGGTAGTGGGGTCACGAAAGAGAATCGAAGTGTGTACTGGTCAAGGCAATTTCGAGAATGACTGTACTGGGGTATTTTCTTCCAGTATTCGACGACTTTACTCTGAATCAATGAGCCTGTTATAGGAAAGCCAGCATTCTCGTGACGCTGCTGCCAGATATATAGGGCCTCATCCAATAGAGGCCACCGAGATGCTAACGGGCGTTTGTTCTGGCCAGCAAAACTAGTATCAAGGTGCTCGTATTTAGATGAAAGGATCTTCGAGACGGTCGCACGGTTGATATGACGATTGAATTGAGATGAAAATCACTCAGCGCATGCTCTCTGAGTAGGTTTAGGGTGTGTCTCAGATGCATAGATACGTAGTGCTTTCTTCTGAGCGTCGGATATACCTTTATTGGGCTGTTTTGGTATAGCCAGCCTGGCTGACAGGGTGACCGAAGATGGAGTGGAAGGGGTAGAATCCTGAATTATGATTGGTCGACTGATATGACTAAGCAATAGTTGAAGAGAATTTTGTGTGCCAGACAAAAAGTGTGCCGGATAGTGTGCTTATATATGGGAAAACTCTAAGAAGTGGGTCCATCCACCAAATTTGGTGCCTAATGAAAATGTGTGCCTAACCTGGGCGTGCCGAAAACGGGAGTTTACCCTACTGTTTAGATCACGTGATATCTCTGTTTGCTCCCAGGTAGACCTCGCCAAAATTGCGGGTTAGGTTTCGACCCTTGACGCAAACCCGCCAAGAGATTTGAATACAGGTAAAAAATACCCCATTGCGTATTTCTATATATGTTATAGGATGTATTACGGTTGTTATTCAGTAATATACGGGCTTATGGGTAATTGGCGGGTTCGCGGGTACCCAAAAAGGCAATTTGTCGCAACAAACTTAGGGCATTTTACGTCTAGACCAAAAATGCTCCATGGGCTATATTCTTACTCTATACGGTTATTTATTGCTTTGACACAACATGGCAAGTTCTCCCCCCAGCATTTAGTCTCTTTGCTCTGTAGATAGTTCCTTTCTTTCTCCACGCATTCAGAGATTGTCCAGACTCTCCTTTCTAGTAGATTTCTAGATATCTCTGCCCTCACTTATCTACATTCTTCCCATTTCCTTCAGTAATCGAATGGCCTCTTCATTCTGGCCAAACCGATCCTAATCCACATCAGTAAGCTTAAAGGCACAAATTTAATAATCAGAAACTTACTGGCAACAAATCCCACGCCGACTCGGGTATGTCCTCAGCAACCAAGACCCCGCAATCCTTCAAGGCCCATTCAGTAAACAATAAGCTACGGCAACTCTCCAGCATGAATGTGAGCTGGTTTTCACCGACACGCATTGCCTTCATCTTTGCATGCATGGCTCCCACGGTGCGTTCGTCCGCGTTTCCATGCGGCGTGAAGCCTGCCTCATAACTTGCGCCGCCAGGTGAGAAGACCTCTGATCGACCGCCAGTTCCTTCTGGGCCATAGATGCGAGCCAGGAACTCAGAAGCGCAATTCCGGTGGAAGTATGGGGGGCGGAAAGTATGTTCGGCGACGTCCCAACGAGGTCCAAAGACCAAAAAGTCACAGAGAGGGGCGTGAGGATCCCGAGACTTGGCAGTAAGGACGGTGTTGATGCACGGATCGGTATGATCTACGGAAACTGTGTTGTGGTAGACGAACTTCGAAAGATCGTACTTGTAGGGAATATAGTTTCCGTGCCAGGCAACAACGTCAAAAGGAGTATGGTTTTGGCTCGTGTTGTAGTACTCCCCTCCTTGCTTGGAAATGATATTCCATGCTCCAGTAGTCCTTGTGTCTATGTCAGCAGTGGGAAAAAGAAAGTCACGAGAGTTGGCTAATCCATATCCACCGAGTGGTCCAAGCTCAGGAAGCTCCCATTTGGTACCCCATGTCTCGATAATATATCCTCTTGCACCACTTGGTGACTTTGCTTCATTTATTTCAAGCTTGAAGCGCAGACCTTGCTGTATGACACAGATCTCAGACGGCTGAAGGTAGATGTGACCAAATTCCGTTGTGATATCGAGATGGCCTTCTTGAGCAACGAACAAGAAGTCGCCATCCATATTGACAAAAGCCTTGCCTTGCATGCTGCTGTTGATTGCGAAGATATGGTATGCAAGTCCCTCCCTAACACTGGGCTGGCCACTTCCTCCAAGTGTATGTAGACCGTTCACGAAGTCCACGGCACCATCCGCCTTATCTGGAATGATAAAAGGAGACCAAGAGACTTGGGCGGGGATGTTTTGGATATTTCCGGACGCATTCATAAATGCAGCCGTAACTGAAGTGTTGGTCTTGATCTTTGTTGTCGCTCCGTGGACACACGCAGGACGTCGCCGATACACGAAGTTTCTCATCGAGCCTGAGCGGGGTGCCGCGAAAGAGGATCCGGTGATCTGTTCTGCGTAGAGTCCATATGCGCAAATTTGGGGGGAGTTTTGCCCGATGGGTAAAGCACCTGGTATGAATTCTGACTGATGTTCGTTGCCAAAGCCAGTGAGATAGTTGTATGGGTCTTCTGGGCGAGTGGATTTCTTGGACCTTGCGTCCATCCAGTGGAAGACACGAGTGTTGAAGTGGCCAAAGTCACCCATCTTACGTGTCCAATTTCTGTTCAGAGTCGTTATACTAGGTTGGTTTCCAAACTGCACAATGGATAGCAAGAGTGCTAGTTATATTCATTCGAAGTGAGGCTGTAGATCTTCTAAAAAGACCTTCACGTAGTGATGGCACGCGAAGCCAAGCACAGCCATGATCAGTCAAGAGTATCTTAACAATTACTAATTCTCAGTCCGGCTTGGAAATCATGATAACCCCGTGCACCCCAACTATAAATTGCCGAATGTTGTACTACGAAAGCCCGTGAGTAAATGCCGGGAATGGCTCTATTTCCGGTTCGCCTACCCAGCCTTCAAACCGCCATAGACAGAGTAAATCCGAACCGGAGCTTCACAAAACACCACTGCTGGTGAGGCATCAAGCTGTTGTGTCTGCCCAGATACTCAGTTAAGGTTTCATGCAGCAGACTCCTGGATGCTATGCGGGGTACCCCATGTTTGATGCCCCTTTCTCGAGTACCCAATACTATGGTTGTTGCGTGGCATTGAGTTCACTGGTGTTGGTGCTCACAAGAATATCTATAAGTACCAGGCGTGAGATTAAGAACGCACCAATTTTCTACATACTTAGGAAGTGCTGCCTCGTTTCTCTGACTTCAATACTTCCTACACTTGCGCTTTTAACGCAGTACCGACTTCAAAAGCAATGGGTCTAGGTATACTTGAGCCCCGGATCGTAGTTTCCGGTTACCGGGTACCTGGCACAGTTTTGTTGGACTCCGATGCAATGACCTCGGAGGAAGCCATCCGGCTCGAAGCAGCTGGCTTGAAGAAAGGATCTGGCAAGAATGCAGAGGTTGTGCTGGTCCCGCAGCCGTCATCTGATCCCAATGACCCTCTTAACTGGCCGCTTTGGCAGCGGGACCTTATCCTTCTATTTTACTGTTACTGTACGCTTTGCTGTATTGGCGGGTAAGATATCTTTTCCCCTTCAGCATGAAATCACTAACGGTTCATAAAACAGCGTTGGCCCGATCTTGTCCTCTATGGTTATACCCTTGATTATGGAATGGAAAATAACTTTTACCGACGCATCTCTACTCCTTGGATACCAGCTCTGCGCTGTAGGTGCTGTCGGAGTTGTCGTTTCTGCTTGCGCCCGCAAGTATGGAAAGCGCCCTACACTCCTCTGGTCAATATCTTGCGCTTTTGGTGGAACAATCTGGGCGGCGCGGGCTCAATCATACGGCTCAATGCTTGGAGCTCGTGTTATGCAAGGACTCGGGATTGCCATGTTTGAGAGTGTTACATACGCCATCGTTGGTGATATGTACCATGTTCATCAAAGAGGAACACGAATGACCTTCTACATCATGGCGCAGTCCGGGATCGCCCAGCTTCCGACCACAATCGCTGGCAAGATTACGATGGATCTTGGATGGCGTTGGGTCTTCTACCTTTTGTCCATTTTTATGGGCATCGCCTGGATCGTTGCGGTCTTCTTTGGCTGGGAGACCCAATTCAATCGCAAGGCTATCTACAATCTTGATATTGGATTTCAGAACGATATTGACGATGTAATGGAACGCGTGACCGATGACGGAGTTATGGAACCTAAGAAGCCAGAACAAACACCACCAGTTACTACAGAAGGCAAGACCCGCGAGTCCTACGCGCAGAGACTCAGGCCATTCCATGGGGTTTTCACAGATGACGCTCTTTGGAAGATGATCGTCAAACCATTCTATATACTGATCAATCCAGCGATCCTCTGGTCTTGTCTCATCATCGCCTTTACCACTGTTTGGATAGTTGTCATCTCGTCTGTCATTGCACAAGCTTTCGCTGTGCCACCATTTTCACTTACAATTGCTCAGCAAGGATACATGTCAGCTGGGCCGCTTGTGGGGGGTTTATTGGGCTGTATTTGCTGTGGTCTAGTCTGTGACCCCATTGCCAGATATTTGACAAAGAAGAACAAAGGCATCTATGAACCCGAGTTCCGACTGCCAATGATGATTGCGGTTCCGGTCGTTTCAACAATGGGGTATTTCCTGTTCGGCAACCTGATTCAGCAAGGGCAAAACCCTGTTTGCGCGTCAGTGATGTTCGGTCTCGTGTTCGTTTCTGTACAGTTTGCTGCAGTTTCGACTGGTTCATATATCATCGATGCATTCCGTGACATTAACGTAGAGGTGTTCATCATCTCGATGACACTCAAGAACTTTATGTTCTTCGGCTTCACTTGTGAGTTATCCTTCTTTCAATCGTATGTAGGATGAAAATATGACCGTCAGTCTAGTCTTCTTAAACGATTGGTTCGCCGCAGCTGGTCCCGCCAAAATGTTCGACACTATCGGCGGTGTTCAACTTGCTTTATCATTAACGACGATCCCAATCTATATATTTGGCAAGAGAATCAGAGCTTGGTGGCATTCTTACAACCTTCTGGTTGCGAACGAAGTCTTGTAGTGGATAAGGGCTGGTTTGGGCATGCTGCTAACCTGTTATATTACTTACTAGTCCATATGACCAGTGAAGAGTTCAAGAGCTATGTTGCGCTGTAGTCTAAATTTCAAAGAAAGCATTTCCAATTACGACTTAACTCGGTAAGCAAAGACCCTTCAAAATCTCCCGTTATTAAATCTTGCAAACATCGGGCTCAAGCATTCATAACTGTGCTGGGATACCGTTCTGCTTGGGCATGCTTGACCCTGAAGCGCCGGTTTTTCCTGATCAAGCCCGAAGCGGGGTATGTTTTCATTGGCAAGAGTATCTTCGCACGGCATCATTTATCTATACTGCAACTACGAAGTCTGATGAACAATTGAACAAGCTCTTTCCCGGCTTTGAGCTTAATGACTTAGCCTCTCTCCGTAAGCCCTCTTCCAAGTGTCCAATGCACTTTCTAACATCCATCTCTGGTTCTCATTCGCATATTCCGTGGGTCTTCGGAGGATAATAGCATCGATACTTAACTCCACCACTTGACCTGTCATACGATCATCATCAAGAATCATATCATAAGCCCTCAGCGCTGTGGTCATTGGTGTGATCTGGTCACTTGGAAACAAATTGCGTATTTCCGGGGGGCATAAAGCCGTCATAATCAAGGCGGGACAGATCGCGTTGACAGTGATGTTCTCATTTTGGAGAAATGGGGCTCCGATGCATCGGGCCAATTGTACACAAGCTGCTTTTGCTGTGCAGTATTGGGCATTGATGGGAGACGGACTTTGTCGAGTACTGTTAGAGAGGGCTTTGCATTTAAAGGGAATTTTGCTTACTAGAGTCCCGCTACGGAGGATGTGATGATGATTTTCCCTCCTGGGCTTGCATTCTTTCTCGCGAAGTGTTTGTAAATCCAACAGCCCTGCACAACAGCTGTAAGATCCACTTCCATTGTCCTCAAGTCAAGAGGCTTTGGATCCCCATTCTCATCCAGCATTTCCGCCTTCATGTGGATATCTTGCACATCGTCGATACCCGCATTTGCTGCAAAGAGGTCAAGTCGACCCCTGCCCCAGCTGAAAGCGTGTTTAAACATTGCAATTTGATCAGCATAGGCAGTGACGTCTGCCTGAATAAACGAAACGTCTTCGCCAAGCTTGTCTCTGAGTTGAACACCTATGTCTTTGTTCAAATCCGCTATCACCACTCTCCAGCCTTTGGTCAGGAGATGTTGGGTCGTTGCAAGACCGATTCCCGAGGCACCTCCTGTCACGAGTGCAACAGGTCCCGACATTTTTTTTTTTTTAAAAAAAAAATCGGGTTGAGCAAAGAACCGCACTTAGTTTGAAAGAAAGTAAAATTCAAGAATTGATCGATCTTTACATGGGTGACCTCGAAGGTTAAGAGACTAAGTGGGTGTAAGTAAGATGTCACCAGTCCACAACGGGGTTTTCGAAAGTAGGTACGAAATTCATCCAGCCACTTGACTAGAATTATCGGGGTACTGAGGCCAACCAAAAGAGTTGAAATTTCCTCGACCTCTGTATTGGTATTTCCGTGGCCGATTACTCCGTACTGATGACAGACTTCAGCCCAACGCCATCAGTGATTGGAAGACATGTCTTGTTTTACGGCCCAGTGAGGGAACTAGTTAACTAGTTGACAACAGCCGATGACCCACGTACGTCAGACAGGTCACGGAGCCTGTAGTGGGGCTTCTCCCAAACACCGACCGGGTCTAGAACCATTCTGTAACCCCGCCCGGTGCTACAACTCCGGTCCCCGAATGAAGCCCCGCTTCTACGCTTACAAGCTTTCACCCGTACCCCAGATCTTTTCACTGGGAAATGCGGGTTAGCGTCACCCACCCCCTCACCTTGGGCTTTACTCCGTCCTTCTCTTGACGCCCAAGTAGTTCCGATTTTACGCCTCCCTGGATTCTGGACTTCAGATTGGCTTCATTTACCTTGCCCGGCATAGCCAGCAAGGTATTTAACATTACCGATCCCAGCGCCTGTTGTAGCTCACCCGTTGTTTTCACTACTCTAACTGTTACCGCAATGTTTTCGATTCTCACGTGGATCCAGGCCATTCTGGCCATCCTTGTACTAAATTATGTTGTCTCCAGCATCAGATTCAGCAGGAAATACAAGCTACCTAATGTCGTTCCTGGATGGCCTCTAATTGGAAACACTTTGGACGTTCCCTATCCAGCTGGAATGTGGGGAGTTAAGATGGCAAAGAAATATGGTGAAATGTACCTCTCACTACATGCATGTAACATGGGGAGTCCTGCTGATAAATCCAACAGGTTTACTTTGAACATCGGAGGACGCCGCTTAGTTTACCTCAACTCCTCCCGCGTCGTAACGGAACTTCTAGAAAAGCGAGCTAGCATCTACTCGTCTCGGCCACATCGTCCAATGCTCCAAGATATAATGTCTGCAGGCGCCCGTATCGTGTTTATGGGTTACACAGACCAGTGGCGGAGCCAACGCAAGATTATGCACTCCATTCTAAACAGTACGCAAGCGGAAAAGAAGTTCGTTCCATTTCAGGATCTGGAGGCAAAGCAGCTAGTCTATGAGATATTCAAAGATCCAGAAAACTACCACAAAGCCGGTCAACGCTTCTCTAACTCGGTCATTTTGAGCGTAATTTTTGGACGGAGGGCCAGAAAGGACGATGAGCTGTTACGTTTCATAATGCAGTACACGGCTACGCTCGGAGACTATCAGTTCAATCCATTAAAGAGTCCAGCCGATGTCTTCACCAAATTGGAGTATCTCCCAAAACCACTGCAATGGTGGCGCCCATTTGGAGAGTCATTTTGCGAAAAGCACGTTGCGTAAGTCTTATTGACCTTGGTACCTTCAGAGGTTTGTGGATCTAACCAAATGTGAAGCATCTTTCAAAAAGAAAATGACAAGCTCGAGGAAAAGATACGCGCGGGCACCGCGAAGCCTTGTTTTGCTGTCGAAGTTATTGAAGGAGCTGCGAGGAGAGAATTCAACATTTCCGATATCGAGAAAATCTATACCTGGACCTCTCTCATCGAAGCTGGAAGCGACACTTCTCGTGTTGCAATCCTGCAAATGGTAGCGGGTGCGGCATGCTACCCTGAGTGGGCGAAGAAGGCGCGTGAGGCTCTGGACCAAGTATGTGGAGCAAAGGCGGAACGGATGCCATCTCTTGGAGATCGAGCTCAAATTCCTTATATTTCGGCTGTGGTGAAGGAGACACTACGCTGGAGACCGTTTTTGCAGAGTGGCGTGCCGCATACCTTGACCCAGAATGATGAGTTTGAGGGCTATAAGTTTCCTGCTGGGACGGAATTTAGTTGGAATGCATACGCCATTGCGTTAAATGAGGAGGAGTACAAAGATCCAATGAGGTTCGACCCGGACCGCTTCATGAACGACGACTTGAAGTCTATCGCCAAGGGACACTGGGCTTTCGGAGCTGGTAAGGAGCTGATGATCATCATTTAAGAGTTCAAACTAACCACGTCAGGTCGCCGCACATGTGTTGGGCTGAACGTGGGTGCGAACAATCTTTGGATTGCTGCAGCTTGTATTCTCTACTGCTTTGACATCGAGCAAGATCCTGTGAGTACTGAGTCCTATAGCCAGCTGATGTACGAGCTAATAGATGAAGGATCATCCGATCGATCAGCTGAACACACTTTGGGAAGAGCCTTTACATGCTCCTTTCCATGTGAAGCTTTCGCCGCGAAGCCAAGCCCATATCGAGCTTATTGAGAGCAGTGGTGCTTTCGCTCTTTCAGCGGACTATTAGTGTATACAGCTTTATGTAAGAATGTGATCCACCACTTAGATTAGACATTGACAAGACAAGCTGAATTTCCCTCTTTCTAGAAGCTAGAAACTAGAATAGCTATTACGCCTACACAGTGGTAAGCAAAGTACGTAGTTGTATCTTTAGCTTAGCTTCGAGGCACGCTGGGACTGCTATGTGCTCCCTATGGAAAACCGATTCTCTACTCACCTTGGGCATTTTATGCCTGTTGTCATCTGTCGAATGGGTATCAAAGTTGCTGCGTAACACGGCGTGCTTGCTCTCAATTCAAACTACTACCCTATGCTCTGGCAAATGCATGAACGGGTCGATGGCAATAAATCCCAATTAAGCCCTTGCATTATGAATTTCTATGAATTTTCAATCCGCTTACGTTTCAACTCTGAGTTTAGACGCACTTTTTCCATCCGTCAATTCGTGTGGCTACTTAACCAGATATTCAAACAAGACACGCGAGGAGAATAAGGGAGGAAAGACAGATGAAGTTGTCGGACTTGCCATATTCAATGTTGAGAAACTGAGACTGAGCTCAGACATAACTATTTTCCGTGCCGCAGATGTGCTCAATTATTTTGCAGGTCAAGGCAGAGACGACCACAGAGGACCTCCAAAAATGGGTACAACCCTGCGACGAGTCTGTGTGGAAGGGTGAACTTTTTGGTGACGGGTGAGGGAGGTTGGGAGAGTAGGAAGAGCTACCTACGCCACGTGCCACTCCTTTTCCAAATTGCTTTGTGAGAGCTTCTACTCCTCCAAGGTATTGCGAATGGAGAGAGGAACATCATATTGAGCCGGGAAAGTACAAGCGGATAACATATAATACAGTCAACTCTCGTGGGCTGCACACCCTCCGGGGCATGGATTTTATCTTGCACACACCCAATGTGTGCAGCTCATGAGAGGATCATAGCTCGATTATGTAATATATACATGAAGCTTTTCCTATTTGGGCTTAAATCCCATCTCCATCAGCGTCTTCTGTCTCTTCCCATCTACCTCAAGCTTCTTAAAGGCTTTGGTTAAAGCCTCAATTGACGACATATGCTCCTCTGTGCACCCCTCTCTATGTGCAGCCCATAGTGATAGATCTGATAGGTGTCGTAGGATTACCGTGTCGGACGGAACCTCTGGTCTTGGCCCAAATATATATTCCTCGTCAGGATCAGGTAGATCATCGCCGATGTCCTCACCACCGAAGTTGATGATAATGTCGTCTAGCTCTGGCTCCGCGGTATCAACATTTTCATCTGATGGATTGAGAAACTCATCGAATGGTAGTATTTCATCCGCATCTGGTTGAAACGCAAGCTTTTCAACAACCTGATTATAAAGAGGCTTTAATTCAGGATCTACTAGGTTACTTCCTGTCTGGTCTTGATCAGCCTGATCTTGACCAGATAGTCGGTACCCAGGAAGAACAGTACTCTTGATGTAACAGTTCTGAATAGTCTCGTTGCTGACCTTTGTTCGCCATGCTTGCGTTAACCACCGTAGCGTATAGTTCAGACTCATACGTTCACGTGGATCGATGCCACGATCTAGCATACTTATCATCCAATACATCCAGCTCTTGCGATAGTAATGCTTGAGGTTTTGGATAATACCCTGGTCTAGGGGCTGGTAGATAGATGTAGCGTTCGCTGGGAAGAAGACTATCTGGATATTAGACGGCGGTGGCGCCTTTTTAAGGGCTATACGATGTGCACTGAAATTATCCATCAATAGAAGTACACGTTTCTGTCTACCGATTCGTAGGTAAAAAGTGCGTAACCATTGTTCCATAATTTCGTGTCGCATCCAAGCCTTCTTATTATAGCGCCACTTACATCCAATAGAAGCTAGATTTATACCCCTTAATGCGTGAGGTGTCTTTGCAGTTCCAATGATCCAGAGAGGTAATCGATCCGAACCGGTCGCATTTGATGCGACGACGATAGTTATCCTCGTCTTGTCTCTTTTCTGGCCAGGACGACCTTCAGATGTAAGCCCACCATTAGGCATACGACGCCAGTAAAGGCCAGTCTCATCCATATTATAGATATCCTCAGGCGCATATTCATCGCAGATGACCTGGATCGCTTTCATCTCATGATGTATCGAGTCCGGCACCGAGGCAGCCTCACCATGAAAGGTATGCCATCTAATAGAATATCGACGTTTGAAGCTGGTTAACCAGCCATCGCTGAATACAGGCATAGTCTGATCTTTGTACATCGGCATCGTCTTCCAATATTCTGCAGCCTTAAGACGAATCAAGGGCCCAGTTATAGGAAACCCCTTCTCTGCGTGTCGTTGTTGCCACTGGAATAAAGCCTCATCTAACAGCGGCCAGTGTGCAGTAGACTTCCTCGATTGAGTTCCAGCTTCGCCGTTATCCAGGTAGCTATACTGAGATGAAAGGGTTCGAGAAACTGTCGTGCGATCGATTATTCGGCCAAATTTCTCATGAAACCATGCAGCACAAGCTTTCTGGGTAGGCTTGGGACGTGTCTCAGACGCAAAGATACGCAGGGCTTTCCTCTGAGCATCAGATATAGTCGCATTTGATCGTTTTGGATAGGGTAATTTCGCTGAAAGGGTGACCGAAGATCGCACCGAAGGGGCAGGGGGGAGCGATGGCGACGGCGAGGTAGAACCATGTATTGTGATTGGCCAGATATGATGAGTAAGCGAATATAGGGGGAAATGAAAAGTGTGCAGACCATGAATGGTGCAGCCCACGAGAGTTTTATATGTAAAAGTGGGGCAAAACTAGTCCAGGCAGGAAAAAAGTGTGTAGCTGACAAATGTGTGCAACTCACGGGCGTGCAGCCCACGAGAGTTGACTGTATAAGGAAAGAAAGCTTCCCTTTTCGCAGAATGCGAACGCATTTCAGCTTCCGAAAAAATAGCATACAAATCAAGTTAAATATACTCCAACTCATCCGTGATCTGTATATACTTTGCATTCCAAAAATCCGTGAAGTAGTTGCTCTTTGAAAGCTAAGGTCCCCTGTCTCCCGCTTTGGACAGAACGGTTTCACCTCTCTGAAATATGTACTATCCAGGCTCATCATGCTCCTTAGCTGCAACTTGATTTCGTCTCTGAATCTTGGAGTGGCAGTCACCGCACCTATGCGCATGATCCAACATACAAGTTGTGCCGATGCTTCAACACCCAGTGTGTGCGAAGTATTGGTATATCTAAGTAGAAACGCCGAATTCGGCATATCTTGAATGAACGATCCCTTTCATATGTGCTTTTTGGATATGTCAACTTGAATCCCATCAAAACTGATCTGTGTTCCACTCGCAAACTTCACTCTGGGTCTTGTAGCAGTGATAATGATATCGGCGTTAACAAATGTCCCTCCTGTAGTTTAGATACCAGTTGTTATTATATTCTGGATTGTATATGTCACAATATTTGCTGACTGTGCAACAATATATGTACGGCTATGCTGGAGCATTGTGACGGTAGAAGCTGTTTCTGCAAGGAACAGTAAGAGTGTGTGTCACTGCAGTAGGTCCGCTGCAGATTATCACAATTTTCTTTCCTCTGTAATCGAGATCTTCCAGTCAGAACTATGGGTGAATTGTTCTATCTTTGAACTTTTTGATACCGGGAATTGTGGTCTTTAGTGGTTCATCATAGTCACAGGCTATTTCATCGATCTTGAGTGGAACTACCATGAGATTTTACTGGGCATTGAACCTCTTGTGGCTCTCATACATGCGCCTATCTAAGCAACCTCCTTATTGAGCTACTTAAAAAGCATCAAATTACTAATCATGCGCTCACGATTATTACGGATAATGTATCGAATAACAGTACATTACCAACTACTCTCTAAGAGGTTATTTCGCCCCTAGAGCTTCCTAGTAATATACTGACTATTCGTATACCATATATTACACGTGTTATACCGGCATTTTCGCTTCACAGGGGACATCTCTTATGTCCGATCCAGGTAAGGTGTGTGTCTAGTACGGGATAAACATTTCTCGGGACTGAGTAACAAACGTACCTTCTAGTTAGTTATCATGGTAGGATGATAGCGGATCTTTAATAATCGACCCGACCCCATCGAAGATTTATTTAGGGTCGGTTACCTATGGACCATAACTATTCTCGATTGCGATGCTTCGGCTATTCCGGGCATCGAGGCATGAAGCCTTCAGCGCTTGGAGGACTACTTGACAGGATTGACTAGGTTCCGTTAGCTGCCGCATTCCTTGCCGGCACCCGGGGTTGTTCATTCTATAATGCCGTTGGGTACCCGGAGCTGTCCATTCTTTAACGTAATTCCCGGCCAACCTGGCCACCCCAAAACACCATACTGAATGCGATAAATTACAGCTTCTTATCTCAACAACCATATCTATTTAGGATAAGATATTAAGTATAATCAATCTAGATAGTATTTGTAGCCTACTGGTACAGTAAAGGAAGATTGCTTTAAGTATTAGTAGAGACATGTTCGTTAAATCTCAATTGTCAAAATTACGCTGTACTTTATGGTAGAGCATTAAAATCCTTGTCCGAAGGGCCTAAATTGCGTTGAAAATATTCCTTTGCCTAGAGAGATGCATGTCCTAAAATTTTGACAGAAATAAATCCATAGTGATTGAAATATAGAGGAATCAATATTCAGCATTTTAGTATCTAGTATGGTGATTTGGGGTGGCTGGGTTGGCCGGGAATTACGTTAATGCCGTTATGGCTTTCTTAGTAACGGGCTAAGTCCATCTTATAACTATTTCGGATGGCTCTTGGTTTTGCTTCTGACTCTTCCTGCAAAAGGGTGTCTCCCATTCCAAATACTCAAATCTTTGATTTGAAGTTAACATTCTTCTGTTTGTTTGTTTTTTTTGGCTGTCGGACTCGCCACCAATTCCAAACTATTCAGCCAAAAATGGAGCGTCATGTCCCAGGTCTCGGTGTCGTTAGTGGTATTGTATCGGACAAATTCCGACATATCGAGCAATATAATGGCATCCCGTACGGAACTATCGAGGCTCGTTTCAGACAGGCGAAGCTGGTAACGTCTTGGCATGGCGACAAGTGGGATGGTAAGGAATATGGGTAAGTTGAGCCTGTATAAGTTTGTGCCTTGACACGTGTGTAAGTATGCTAATAATGTTCGCAGACCAATCTGCCCTTTTCCAAAAATGGTAATTGGCCATGGTCTTACCCAAGCTCGCCTTCCACCACAGAACAACTATGATATGGACGAGTTTAACTGCTTGAACTTGAACATAACATGTCCTATAGGAAGCGCACCTCAAGATAGTTGGCCGGTCATGGTGTGGATCCATGGGTACGGGAAGTCAAATTGGCTAAAACTGATTTAAGCTGACATTCCATAGCGGTGGGAACTGTGTTGGCATGGGATCCGACTCAGGATATAGTTCGTTGCAGATTACAACCAGGAGAAAACCGCTTTCAACTGACCTTTGATAGACGGTGGACCACTTGTACACTTCTCAGTCGAACGTGACGCGCCGATTGTGATTGTGACCATCAAGTATGATCTCAAACGCTTCATACACAAGAAATCCTCTGGCTGACGTGCTTTTTAGCTATCGACTTGGAGCTTTCGGTTTCCTTGCGTCAAAAGAAATCCAAGAGGACAACAAACAAGCTGGCGATCATGGGTTTGGAAATTACGGCCTTCGAGATCAGCTCCTCGCGTACGAATGGATTAAGAAGAATATCCGAGCGTTTGGCGGCGACCCATCACGAGTTACTGCGGCTGGACATAGTGCGGGCTCAAGTAAGTTTCTACTCCCAAAGCTGTCAGCCTTGTTCACTAACACACCATTCAAGTTGACACACACATCTTGATGTCCTCTGGTCTCTTCTTCAAAGAAACTCCCTTCCACCAGGCAATCCTTCAGTCGGGTGTATCGTCGCGCAACGTGCTTACCATTGAGCGACAACAAAAGCGGTTCGACCTGATCACCACCCACCTCAAGATTGGCGCAGAAAAATCGAGAACTGAGAAGCTGCAGGATTTGCGAGATATACCACCGGACGATTTAGTAAAGGCATATATTGCTCTAGGAACGCCAGTGCCTTCATGGCAGGGAACAGTGGACAACCATTTTCTCCACTCTGTGTCAACCGCATCATCACTTCCATCCATGAAGTATCCTTCAACACTCAGGAGACTTCTTCTAGGAGATACGCAACACGAAGGGCTGATCTTTGGTACGCCGATTAAAAAAGCTGGCTTGGAATTTGCGAAAGTGCAACTTGCAGTTGAGCAGAGCTTGGGACGGGAAAATACGCAACGTGTTCTTGAAGCTTACGGTATTACAAAGGAGCTCTCCCCACAGCAGCTCTTTGTGCCCGTCGTGCAAATAGTCACTGATGGTGCTTGGTCGCAGCCAATCGAGGCAGTTGCGAAGTCATTCTCAAATGGTGATGTTTTCTACTATCATTTGACAGAAGTCAACCCTTTCGAGGGACCGAACAAAGGTTGGTCTTGTTTCAAAGCCAATGACTGTTCAAGTTCACTGATCCAAGGCTGTGTATAGATACAGCCCACCATGGTGTAGATCTCCTCTTTGTCTTTCTTTCCTATCAAAGTCTGTTATCACCCACACTCGCAAGTCTCGGCGAGATTATTGCGATGCACTGGATCACATTCATCAACGGCGGGAAGCCGTGGACCCCCTACAGTCAGAAATCTGACGGCTCCTCTGCCGTAATGTTGTTTGGCAATAACGGTCCTCAAAAAGAGATTACGGAAGCTGAGAAGCCAAATTATGAGACGTTACGCTTGTGTGAGAGTTTACAAGATAGATTTGGTGTTTTAGAAGGATATCTTCGTGGGGAGAAGCTTTAGCGGAGCGGGAGAGAGAGAGAGAGAAATACAATTGGTATTGATCATTAACAGGACTATTGGGTAGCAGAAAGGAGAGAAAAAAGGATCTATTCTCTACCGTCAAACATGGAGCTAAGTAAACTAACTAGTAAACGAGGGGATACGCTAATGGCAGTCCGGGCAAAACAGACAGGTTGAGGCATGAAAGAGATAAGCAGTCGGGGAAGGGCCTGAAGCCATACAAATCACTATCCCTATGGGTAGGACGAGGGCATACAACACCCACTGAAAGGCGAGTACTGCGAGAGGACGAGTACTGAAAGGACCAATCAGATAGAAGAAATGGGACTTGTCAAAGATGAGAGAAATAGGTCGGATTGATCTGCGGTAAAGACTGGCAAAAGCGTATTTGCAATTATATGTCAATCGAAAGGAATGTGCGCGTCTGTATATCTCTACATAAAGCCTTTCAGCCCAATACTCCGAATCAATAAGGCAAACTAGCCAAACAGTGTAAAGAAACCAAACAGAAAACCAGAGAGCAGACCAAACCAGAGAGCAGACCAAACCAGAGAAGCCAAGTAAGCTACCTCAGTGAGAGAGTACTCTTAGCCGAATGCAAGAGAAGGCCTACCAAGATGGGACACCACGTTGGAGTTCTTTAATAATTTCGTTGGAAAATACAGTGTGCCCCGAAACTAGTGCCACCACTTCTTCTCGATTATATGATTGGATGGTTAGAGGGACGCCAGGAATGGCCGCAAGCATGACCCACACGTGATTCCCCAGACGGTATATTCTACACCACCACGAAGGACTTGGTTCATAAGGACAGTTATTTAGCATAATTTATTTCCTTCTCCGCGATCAATTACACATTGTTACTTGGATACCACCTTTAGTACTTTACAGTTCACAGTTCACCTTAAGACGACCCATCCTACAAGTAGAGAAGCTCACTTGGTTTCACCATCCTGTGACTGACTGACTTAGCGCGCACTGTGGCACGTCTTGCAAGATATTCAACAGGATCCGAGCCCGTGTAAGGTTTAGCATAGCAACGATACGGTTGCGAGATACTCTTGGGATTGAAGTCTGTGTCGACGGGGCCGGAATCTGCTGTCTTAGCACAATCGTTAGTTATACCTTATAACAACAACGATCAAGGTAACTATCACCCCTTTCGGTACAAACTCACGGTGACGCAGAGGCCGTGCGTAACACTAGGTAGGCGGTGTGGGCGGTGAGCCCTTGGCGGTGTAGGGGGTGGTCGAAGACTTACAGTGGCGCCGCAAAAGTCTGAGACCACCCCCTATTGACCGCTTTCTTATAGTAGGTTATCATTTACTAAAAATAGACTAGACGGGACTATCTACTCTATTTTAGGTAAATACTAGCCCCCCCTCAGGAAGGCGGAGACCAAGGCGGTCAACCGGGGGTCTCAGACTTTTGCGGCGCCACTGTATGAAACACCACTGTACATACTAACACGTAAGAAAGATGGGTTGGTCATGGACCAATCCCATGTCACTGTAATAAAACTCTCCACTTTTCACGACAGGATCAGTTATACACTGTTTCGAATGCCAAGAAATTATATCCAATTGAAAATCAAGCTAAACTAACTCCTCGTTGTTGATATATCATGATCTGAGAAATCGTATTTACGTTAATGCGTCATGGAATCGATGAATGACTCATCCAGTGTACAAATTCAAACTGTTGCACTGGAATTGAACCTTCACACTCACTGCAGTTGCGATCGAAGATGGCGCCAAGTCCGTCTGTGCCTTTTGAAATAAATTATGCCAATGCATCTGACCTAGGTGCACTCGTGAGCATTGAAATACGCTCTTTTCCTTCGTCCAATTATATGCGCAGCACATACAAGGGATGTGATCCATTAGCAGTTCACACATTCAAAACAGTATCTTTCTTCGAGTATTTCGCAAAATCCGAGTGCCATATTCTAGGGGGTGTCGACTCTGAAGCCGGTGAAATCATCGCATACAGCCGCTGGAATATACCAGCTATTTATGAGTTCGAAAGAGCCGTGGACACAAGTCTGAGCATCGATGTGCAAGCACAAATGCAGAATATGTGGGCGTACGCCCCAAAGTTGAACAAGGGTACCTACACGTTCTACGAGGAAATGATAAAGCGTAGTAGGAATATACATCTCAAGCAAACTGATATTGGTTCGTCAACCCATTTTGCCACTCTACATAAAAGTTTTACGATACTGACTGCTAAAAATACTGCTAGTCCTTGAACTACTATGCGTCTTACCAGAGTACCAAAGAATGGGAATAGGAAGTACGTTCCTCAAATGGGGTATCGAGAAAGCAGACGCTAGTAAAGCCCGGATATATCTGGAAGCTACGATGGAAGGAGTACCAGCGTATTTGAAGCACGGGTGGAAGATCGTCGAGGAAATACGGCTGGATTACACGGAACGTGGTGGAGAGGGAAGTCAGAAGTTCGCATTGATGATCAGAGATCCCCCAGGAATTTGATTTTATACACTGTCTCAGGTCAGACGCTAGCAGTGACTAGTTAACTAACTAGTAAACGAGGGGATACGCTAATGACAGTCTGGGTAAAGCAGACAGGTCGAGGCACGAATAAGATAGGTAATCAGAGGAGGACCTAAAGCCATACAAACCACCACCATGGGTGGGAAGAAGGCCTATAGTACTCGCTAAGTGCGAGTACGGCAGGAGACGAAGGGCTAATACCAGATAGACTAATCAGATAGAAGAAATACGACCGCTAGAAGATGTGAGAAAAGGAGTGAATTAATCTACGATAAAGACTGGCAAAACGTATGTACAATTATGTATATATCGAAAGGATAATGAGTGTGTGTGTATGTCTCTCCCTATATAAAGCTATTCGCTATAATTGTCTAGATTAATAAGGTAAACTAATCAAACAGTATAAAGAAGTTAAACAGAAAGGCAGAGAGTAGTCTAAACTAAAGAAACTAATACAGTCATTCTCGAAATTGCCTTGACCAGTGTACTCTTCGACTATCTTTCCTGGCCCCACTGCCAAGCCTTTAGCGCAGATCACCTATTGGGCCCACCCCATTAAGTTGCGGTCCGGTATGATCTTCCCAAGCTTGTACAGTGACGTTCAAAACGTGGGGCCCTCAACTTGATGCGTCCAGCCCTATAGGTGATCTGCGCTAAAGGCTTGGCAGTGGGCCAGGAAAGATAGTCGAAGAGTATACTGGTCAAGGCAATTTCGAGAATGACTGTATCTTTTCATCTTCTTTTACCATAACCGTGGCAGCTTGCGCAGAGGTTGATATTGGCGGCGGATAGCCTATTCTTTCAGGTTTACGGGTAGCAAAGTGGCCTAATCGGGAATTCTGCTGTTGAAATTTGGTGAAAACGCCACTTGCTAGTATGGCCACTATTTGCCACCGTACGCGAGGTGAGGTTAGAGGTTTTCGGCGCCTAATCCTCCCTAACCTAATGCCGCGGTCTAACCCAAAGTAATCTGTCTTGCCATGGGATCGATTGCTCAATCTTCATGCCGGAAGATGACGTGCCAATGCTAGTTCCGTTAGCAAACAAATAGCATACACAGCACAGGGAAATACCTACTAAGTAAAATATGGCCTATGTTCCAGTAACGGGCAAACCGATTCAGAATGAGTATTAGGAGCTCTTCCTCAATGCTGGGTTGGCTCGGGCCGCCTTCCCTCTGCGCAGGTTGTCGCAGATCCCGGACGAAGGTCAGGTTGATGAGGGACGGGCCGACTACGAGACCAACCATTGATGGGGGAGAAAACATGATTGACTGCGGTGACCAGGAGCGTAGGATGCGAAAGATCTCGTGAAAAGAATGCTGCATCTTCACAATAATGGTGCTGGGTAGGGTACGCGCTCGTAGTCCGTGCACGGGCCTGCCAGAGCGGTCGATCATACTATCTGAATTTGAAAAGACTGGTTCTGAGTGTTTCCGATTGCTCAGCAGAACAATGATGAGCCGAGTACTGGATCGCTTTTAGCAGATAATTCGCTCATCCATGAAAGACTATGACAAGGTGTTCTTACTAGTATATCATTAGGTAGGTGAAGACAACCCAATTCCTTCGCGTACAGTCGGTGTGACGGGAGACCAGGTGGCCGACAGGGATAGGAAAACGTTCCTCATAAAGAAGGGCGAAGCACGCAATCACTGTCTCCATTTTGTCGATGTCTGCGTCATTGGTGGTCGTTTGAAAACCAAGCGCGTATGTTTGCACCATAATATAGTTGCTAATCAAGAACCACGCACGCTCATCTTTGTCGGGCGTATCCCTTAGGCTCTTCCAGCAGAGTAACGGGTCCGCATGGAACCGCGCCGACGCGACGGGGACACCTGTGTACCAAACTTCATCCGAAACCGGCAGCGATGTATGGGAATGGCTAAGATTGATCATTAGAGGGCGACGGGACACTACGGAATTGAACGCATCCAATTCCCAGATGGACCACCATGCCCGACGTTGCTCTTCTTTTGCAATCCAGTCTTGGCTATCGAGGGTTTGAGACGGGTCGAGGTCAGAGGAGACCCGGTCCAAGCCGAGCTTACGGGCAAGTTCCGCGCAGGCCTCAATCAGAGGCATGCTATCCCAAGCGGACCGACTCGACTGGTTATAGTAGGCTACTAGGATACAGCCTTGAACCCATCTTAACAAGGGCACGCCATCCTCTGGGTGACTTTGCCACTCATCATAAATTGCCTGTGCACTGTTTGCAAACTCAATGCCACGTTCCTTGACGGCCACATGGGCAAAGAAGGATGATTCAGAAAACCGGGCGGATAAGGAAAACATGGCGTTGAGGACAAAAGCGGTCTCTCTGGAGATATCTCTGTAGTTCCGCAGATCGTCATGTACAGACTTGCGAAAGCTCGGCCAGTGAAAGAGTGGTAAAAAGACCTGCACCCGTTGAAAATACAGTTCCAGTCTGTTGAGGTTGCATGATCAGCCTGAGAAATACCAAGAAGGCAGGGCAAAAAGAGATAGGGATGGGGAGATAGGGATGGTATTCACAGCTCATCAAAAAGGTCAGACGGGATGTTAAGTGAGTAAGCTGGTGCTTGAGCCACATTTGGGGTAGCTTCTGGAGCCAGCGGTGGCCATGCGTTTAGCTCAGGACGGGGGGTAGCTAAAGCAACTTCGTGTTCGCTGGAAGAGACACTGGGACCAGTGCCAACGAGGTTTCCCGCGGATACGGACTTGTCTGGTTGCACCGGTGCCAGCCCCTCGTCAATACTGTGCCAAAAGTCAGGCATCGTTTCCTGCAAAAAGTCAAGCATGTCGTAGTCAATGCATTGAAGATAGCTCGTTTGCCTCGCAGCGGCCGGTGTTAAGCCTCTGGTGTCGGGGCAATATTCCACATCGAGCACCGTGGAATTTGCTGAGTTCAGGTCATGGAATACTGAGCTATTTGCTGGCACTTTGTCCTGGCATGCGAGCTCTGAACTCGGGGTCCTCTGTTGGCTTCCGCCTTGGCCCATGGGATGCACAGCTTGGTGCTGGGCTGTCCGTTTCATCAATTAGTTCATTTTAGCCAACAGCAAAGACATTAAGGCCGTCTTACCATTGCGCCGAAGATGCTCCCGAGGCTTCCGATGAGGATAGGCGCATGCCATAGCAGTCCGCAGACAAACTGAGCAGGCAGGTCTCTTTCCGTCACCTGCAAAAGAAAAGCCAGATATATCAGAAAACAAAAATGGAAATAGAAATGAAAACAGAAATCGCTTCAGTCGGAGTCGGTGATAACCCCTACAGGATTCAGCACTTACATTTCGTCTTCTTTCTGAATAAGAAGCACATCTTAGCCATAGTTCCGTCGAGCATTGGGAGGAATAGGCCCTATTCACCTACCTTTTGCATCCTTCACATGCCCTGTTCAAGCTAGGGGTTCGAGGCATAAGATCACCTGGTTGAATTGTTGAATCGGCAGAGATGGTGTTCAGTTAACCAGGTCTGTCCATCGTATGTTGGTGGATGGGGCGGGAACCATGTGGGGTAGACATGCGGGGTAGACATGCGGGTCCAGCAAATGCCAAGCCAATAGGGGCAATACGTGTGAGCTTTGGCTGTTACAACCAACTGACAGACTGTCAACAAGTAGTACAGTGACACAGCAAAAGTTTTAACAACACAAATAACTAGCTAACGCACCCCTAGTAGGCCCTAGTAGGGCGTATACAACCCCTCCGATTCAATGATCGCTTCAACTCTATTAGGCATAGGCTCTGATAGGTGCTCTAGGTGCCGCATATCAATGTTTTGCTGTACAATTTGCGCAGTTTCTACCAAAATGCGCTTCGTCTCATCGTTGTTCTGCATATACATAATATCCGGGCGAATTTTATAAATCTCCGCCTTTAGAAGCCCCTAGAGGTTCTTAATTAAGTTAAGATCAGGCGAATGAGGCAGCTAGACTATTACCTCGATCTTTATCTTAGCTAACACATCGCGAATAACGTACGCAGTATATATTAGCGCGTTATTATGCATAAAGATATTATCCTGAGTAGTGTTACGAACCTTAAGAGGCGCGGGGGCGCAACTAATTCAGGAGCAATGGAGAGCAAATCAACCCCCCGGACGCTAGGCAGTAGCATCGTTACGTGCAATACCTACCGCTTACGCATGTCGTAGAGGAGCCTTAAACAGAACATTCAGGAAGGCGGCTAGAAACAGCCTTCATCTAACCGTACTATCGTAAACTACAGATATTTTTCTGTCGGACTAATTAAATATATTAATATTAACTAATATTTCTCTAGAAATTCATCATCAAAACGAATATTACTTAATACATATTGAGATATTGTCGTAAATACTTCTCTATAACGCGTGACGGAACGTATATTACGTATAATTATTAAGAGATTTATATAACTAACTAAAAGAGGAAATTCTTGGCAAAATTATATAATTCAGGGTCTATCAGGGGAATTGCTACGGACACAGCAGCTTTTGCTAGCCGCACAGCAAATTATGTAATACCCGCATGACATAATCAATTTCGCCCAACATCGTTACCATACATTACCACAGCAACTACATTACTTACCACTATAGCACCTACATTCTATCAACTACTGCTATAAGAGCCTCTCTATCACTTATTCCATTTCATATTATTTACATATCCTATTATACTGAGCCTTAATTCGATCGTAGTAGACATCACCTCTATCACAACCAAGGGTGATATTTTTATCCTTAGTAGAGCGGATTGTTGTGATAGCATAGCCATAAGATAGGGCATACTGCTGTACAGAAGTAAGTAGCTGCTCTCTAGTCTCAAAGACTTGTTCAATTGGTAGCTCCATGATTAGATGAAGAATCAGATGAGGAATCAGATGAGAAAAGAGATCAATTAGATGAGAGAAAGCTCTTATACTAGTAGTTGATAGAATGTAGGTGCTATAGTGGTAAGTAATGTAGTTGCTGTGGTAATGTATGGTAACGATGTTGGGCGAAATTGATTATGTCATGCGGGTATTACATAATTTGCTGTGCGGCTAGCAAAAGCTGCTGTGTCCGTAGCAATTCCCCCTGATAGAAGAACTCCCTCGGGCCGCCATACGTGAAGAGATCGACCAAATTAAGGTTCCTTGATCTTCATTGAAGGCCAAAAAGTTAACCGAGCGCATCATATTTACTTTAGCCTCTACTTTCCATGTGGAATGTCCGCTTGCGTATAGGAGGCCCATGGGCCCTCTTTCAATTTTTCGCCCATATAAGCATGAATTGCTTTGGTCAGTTTTGATAGGTTCCATTGTCAAATAATTTTTTGATTCTTTTAACAGAGAAGGGTCGTTTTATTCTCCAAAAATATCTCACCCCGCTGGTCTCCTGGCGAGCAGCTACTTGGCTCAATATGAGACGAGTTGCTCTCGACGATCTCATGGTTGAAGATGAAGCTACAAAGAATGTGGATTATTTGTCTTTTGAATGGAAAGAAGAAAACATACGGGTCACTAAAAACTACATCCGTCGGCGAAGAGCAATACTGGGAAACTACCAAAGGCTGGAAAACGCCCTCGGGAGAGCATGGGCAAAGCAAAGGCAGAGATTACAATGTTCTCCATCAAGCTTGATTCAATGGTATGGGATTCCTTTCACGGGCTTCGAACTCTTCAATCAGTCCAAAGCTTATATTGCTGATTCCCAATAGGGATAGAGACACTGATACAACTTGGCTTTTCGGGCCTTGGAAAACGAATGCCACATCGCAGCCAACCGCATTGTTTTGTCATTTACAGCCACGGCAAACCGCAAATACACATTTCCACAGGATTGACCAAGATACTGGCCAGAACAAGGGTGGTCTCCCTACCGTCCAAAGCATCTTAATACCCTCACAGCCTTGGCCAATGCACATCCCACTTAATCCGAGTCCCATTTCATGACCTTCGTCTCTGCTGTACTGTACTGTAGCTGTAGACGAGCTATGGTCTTCCATTTCCTGGAGCCACGCCAAATCAACAAATCAACTCGGCGTCTGTGTTAAGAAAAGACCTCGAACATGAACCATCGTGTTTAGCACCATAACGTTCACAGCCGCACACCACAGGAGGAGTGCTGTATGTACTTGCAAATTACAGATTGCTACTCAAGGAGGAGCAAGTTCACCAGATTAATGCAAATGCCGCACATGATCAAGAATAGCCCCCCGCCCACTCCACTCCGTCACCGTAGATGCACTTGGAATTTTCCTGTAAGCGAAATGTCTTTGCATACGTGGGTAGCCAACAATGTCGCGTTCTGAGCTGTGGAGCCTTGTGGTGGGTTGGTATTTATAGCCAATAATTATTCACTGAAATGCTAGGAGGGCTGTGCCGAAAACGGGAGTTTACTGTACCATCAGTACAGGGGATCCAACAATCTTCAAAATCGGTAGGGATATCTAACACAGCCAAATAGTCATTTACTCCAGAGATACAAGACGCAGAGCGGCCGCGATGTGTGCCTCTTCGGCTGCTTCTGAGACACGAGAAGCAGAGCAGTCGTGACGTGCAGCTCTTCGGCTGCTTCTGAGATCAATGAATCTCAGATCATCTCTAATCCACTGTAAGAAGTCAGCGTCGTCCAGCCTTTGCAGCAGGCTATACTGACCCTAAATATCTCTGATCGATCCTCTTTTTGTATCGCATTTCGTGCGATTGCCTGAAGCCCAGCATATGATTCCTCGATACATACCAAAACACTTCTCATGCTAGGCAACACGCCTGTGCGAGCACCTCTTCTTGCATGAAACACGTACCAGCGGATGAAAGCTTTGATCAAGTTGACATCGGGAGCAGGAGACCCTTTTTTGATCTCATAGCTATCTGGAACCCTTCCGGTGTTAACAAGAAAACTGAGGGGTTAGCAAATACAGAAGCTTAAATAACATGTCGTGGTCACTTACCCGATCCAGAGTTTCACACGCCTCTGGTAAAGGGCTTTGACCTTAGCAGGGCGGTTATGCTTATTATGTATGGTACGCTCTCGGAAGAGTTCCTGGCGAGACTCGTGTCTTTGACTTGCTCTATCCGAAGCCTGGAGAAACATCTCCATATCTCAAGATTGGAACTGGGCGCTGGATGAGCTTGAGGACTCAGCAAGAGCAAAATGAAGCGCCGATTTGTTGTAATAATGATTTTTCCGTGGGGTTTCTGATAATCAGAATTTTCCGGGTATTCAACCAGTACTTATAGCTCATTTTTGGAAGTAGTGGCCGATGGAATACTCCTAATAACAGCCAGTCTTGGGGCCCTAGTTTGCTCCTATGAACCAAATATAAACCTTTGCTCCCGGGAGCCCCAATACTTAACATTTATCCTCTGCTGGCGTTTCACACCCGAGCAAGCCCTCTTTGCCATACTAATATAGGGACATGGGCCAAAGGCGCTCCATCTATAGATTGAAAACATCGTGATGTGGGGTACTAGTAAGAGCGGGCAACTCCAAGAAACCTGGACTTGCCTACTGCGGAGGCCCATTACTCCTAGGATCGTTTAATTACATAGCAGAGTTCTCGATAAACGATACAGCCCCTGGGCGCAGTTTGTATAGTGGGCAGAGTGGGAAGACGGAATTTTAGTTGTGAATATAGCAGATAAGCTTTCGTTACTTGCTTAGCCGCGGAGCTGACACCACTATTCCCGATGCAAAGGGTCGTACTGCTCTAGAGCGTGCAGAAAGCCAGAATCAGACGGATGTTGTCGAGATGCTGAAAGGTGCAGCATGTTGTGTGCATCGTTTCTTGTGACTTGATTATACAGTTGCGACCGTTACTGTCTTCCATGTCGGAAACATTCTGTCACATGTAATAAAGCTCTCTTCTCACCTGATCATGACCGGTCATGCGACGGCATTGGTACTAGTTGCTTTAATTCTTGCTCAGAACAGATGACCTAGATCATCTCCAGTGTCTACCCGGATAACGACACCACACGAGTAGTGACTCTGAATGAGACAGAGGAAGTCTATGGCCTTCGGAATCGAGTATCTGATTATTTCCTCATCTTATATAAAGTGTATACCATCACTACTTGAAGAAAATAAGATAGAAAATAAAACTTCCTCTCATCTTAAACAGATTGCAAGGATATCAAGATTTCCAACGAGCTTCGCAAAAATAAGCAACTAAAAAAAGATCATTTCAACCAACCATTCTGTTCTAACAAGTATCTCGCCTGACCCAATTCCTCTTGGCCAGGCAGGTTGACCACCATCATATACAAAACATCCTCCGTGAGTATCTTTTCTACTCCTTTAAAGATCAAGCCCACGGGTCCTCGAGCGGCGTCAGGGGCTCGACCTTCTGCAATATTCCTCTCAGCCCTCCTCAGTTGCCGTCTTGCCCTCCGGCGCGCTCTCCGAGTGAACTGGATATGGCCTCCAGTCACTAGACCGATCAAACTCCCAGTGTTGGCGGCGGAATTCGGGTCTGCAAATCGAGAGCGGAAGGCGGGTGCCTCAACTTGCTGCCCGAGAGTCGAATTGGGATTCTGGGCATTGTATTCAGCTTGGGAGCGGCGGTCATAATAATTATCGATGAAGGCTTGGGCGGACTTCATTTTCGACACGAAACCAGCCTTTTCGGAGCCCTCAGTTTGCTGTTGCGGGGTCACGGTGTTCTTCAAGCCCGGGAATACAAGCTGAGCCACCGTCAGGGGCATATTTTCTTCACCCTGTGTCGAACCACTGGCGATGCGAATATTTCCCACAACCTTCATGCCCTGGGATGGCGGTCCTGACTCTTCACCGGTAGAGGTGGCAGGAGCCCATCGAGCGACACTTTTGGTTGTGGCCATCTGTGCCGCCTGGAGATTGACCTCCTCGAAACCCACTTCAGCTTGGAGTCCCGGGATACGTGGGTTCGGTTTAAATCTCATGACCATGACATAGAGACCTCTTGGCATGAAGAGTTCCCGGTTAATTTGATCGAGGTAGGCGTTTGCGCGGTACCGTTTCTGCAACTCGATGGCTGTTCCCGCGGCAAACTGCACCGATATACTGACGGCTTGGGTGACGGCACCTGGAATGAATCCGACGACTCCTGCAGCGATGAAAATGGTCTGAAAGTATGGGGAGGCCTTGGCCGCTTCGTCGAAGTTCTGCAGGAAGTGGAGGAATGTTTGCTCGGGGATTCCGCTGGCCGCCAGATCTGGAGCGTAGGCCCGAACGAAGCCTCGCGCCTTGGATCTGGGGCGACGCTGAGGCAAGACGACGGGATATCGAAGAGGGACGATCTGCGATGGGTGAGGAGCAGGAGTGGCGTTTGTTGCTATTACGGTCGCGACCAGTTTCTCTACTGGTTGATAGTTGTAGGAGAGTATCGGTGAAGACGAGGAACTTGAGACGGCGCCTTCAGGTCCGCGTACCGCCTCCTGATAAGTAGGGAGCGGGGGTAGTTTCGATGCTTCATCTAGCTCCCAGATCTCTTCGTCCCTATGGCCGATTCCATCGTCGCTGTCGCTGTCGCTGTTTTCGTGACCTTCTAGACGGGCTCTCTCTTCCTCCGTGATGTAGACAGTATGACCACTGGCGACGATAGGCTTTGCGTCTTTTTGCGGGCGGTGGACGTAGATATCATGACCATCGTTGTCGTCGTGGTGTCGGTGGTGCTGAGGGGCATCAACTGCCCGAGCGCTCTGGTCCTGATCGAACTCCTGCTGTGCGCGGGCAGCTTGCTTCTTCTCCTTGTGATGAAGGTATGCTTCGCGTCCCAGGCCAACTCCACCACCCACCATCTTGACCGCCATACCAATTAGGCGAGACATGATGATTGATTGACCGCGATGTGTAGGTTATATTAGAAACGAAAACGAGCAAAAGAGAGCAGCAGCCCTACTAGATGGGGTTAGTTAAGAGATGGATGGATGTAGCGTCTTTGTCTTTGTCTTTGCACGGGACGGGATTGACTGACGGGTGGCCTTGAATCTAGAAGGTGGATAAATGGACAAAAATCCGTAACTTCCGACGAATCGAATAAATTCAAGTCCCCCTAACTCCTCCTCTTATCAGTCCAATAGTCTGGCCTTCGTTCACCCCACTGACAAGTGACAAGCCACGTTACACTTCTGTAACTTAACACAATCAAGAAATACGAACGTGATGCTAAAAAGCTAAGCGCTGAATTGCTTCACCACGACTACTAGGGGGCGAGTATCAACCATTTTCCTAATTAATCCTAGCTCTCTTTTAGACCTTGACATTTCCCATGATTTAATCCCGCTAGGACATTAGCGTGGGACTTCCTAGCAAAAGTGGATTATGCTAAGACTGATTTATATATTGAAGAGGGGAACGCTCGAAGGCAGCACACTCGGAGATGTGCGGGTCGATCCAGCAGCACAACAACAACCACACCAGCACCGCAGGTTGTACGAGAGACCTTATGGGCCCATGCCCTATACGTGTACGAGAGAGTGGTAGAAGCGTGTTATTCCATACTATCCTCGAAACGCTAGATATCCGTGCCAGGCATACAGGTGTACTGTAAAATCGCTGTTCCGATACAGCCCGGAAAAACCCCATCCGACCTCTTCTGTAATACCGAGTAACAGGGGGTTCCCCACTACAATATATAGTTTTGCCTAAAAGGGTATTTTTTGCATAACTATACGTTTATAGTAGAGAAGCGGGAAAACTCTACCCGTGAAATCATAAATACGGAGATTAATGATCCGTGTCGGCCGAATGGGCATTATTAATTAACAGATTTAGTGGTTCGAATATATCTGTTAATTAACTATCTGTGTGGGACCACTGTGACACCGGGGTACTCACTCAAGCTTTTTTAGTTTCGGATGACGCGGCCTGGAGTTAAGAACGGCACATTGTCAAGATAAGCTATTCGAAGCGAGCAGTTTCATGCCAGATAACTGGCTTCGAATGGGCGATATTAACATTCTAGCGGGTTAGAATATGATCTAAGAATTGTTTTGGTTTTGGGCAAGGGTCAATACCCATGGGACGCATTTGTCTAGGTCTACATCTGATGCAATCAGACTATCAGACTTCTGATTGGGCAACTAAACCAATAGGATGATGTGTTAGCGGGGCCTATTGCGAAGGATCCGTGGTCGCGATTGGTGTTATCCTGCCTAATCGCGTCGAGGTACGGAGTACGGAAATATCGTAGCATGATAGGGAAACGAATATGCTCCACAATAGGTATTTCTCTATGCTTCCCGACTAGCTAGCAGACCCGATTATTCGAAGGGCCCACTGACGGCTTTCGGATTTAGTTTCGGGTACGGAGTACTTAAAGAGGCTGATCGAGTGAACTTTAAAGGATTCCCAGTTTACTTTCTCATCCTGTTGAACACTAAGCAGACCTAAATACATACTAACCCGCAGCATCCTCAACACAATGCTGCACTATCGGAATATCGTCGAAATCATTCAGTTGGTTGCATATATACCATGTCTCATTATCGCAGTAATTGTCGCCTTTCGTCATGGATTTGGCAGAAGCTCGGGTTGGATCTTTCTCGTTATATTCTCTCTGATTCGCCTTGTCGGCTCAATCACTTCCTTGCTCACCATGTACCCTAACGACTCGATCGCGCTTTACATCACGGCCGCCGTTTGCGAGTCGATCGGGCTTTCTCCCCTACTCATGTCGAGTATTGGACTTCTCTCGCGAGTGTATGTCGCTCCCTGTATTCCATCCAGAGAAAACACCCCCCAGACTAACACGGCTAGGAATGATTCTATCGCACGAAAGTCTCGAAAGGAACTGCAACCCATGGTCTTTAGGCTCCTCAGTATGCTGACGCTGGCCGGTCTCATTCTCTTCATCATCGGAGCAACCAGCAACACCACCCCGGAGGGCCTGACACAAATCAATTCAAAAACCAAGATCGGAATGGATATTTTCATCGCCACCTTCCTCTTACTGTGCCTCCTGCTCCTGGTTCTCGCCACCCGTCGCCGCCAGATCGAGGATGGCGAGCATCGCCTGCTTGCCGCCGTTGCAATCTCCATGCCCTTGCTCTTAGTCCGCCTCATCTATTCCATCCTGGTGATCTACGTGCATAGCTCGACGTGGAACCAACTAACGGGCAACGTCACCGCCATGCTGATCATGTCGGTCCTTACTGAGCTGGTCATCGTCGGGATTTACCTGGGCACTGGTTTGACGCTCCATACACATCTGACTGATGTGCAATACGAGGCACCCAGTGAGGCGTCGATGCCGCTGAAGCCCTATCAGAACGGGCCGCCTATGTTCGCCAACCGGCCTGCTCCCAACACCGCTTACGACCCACGTATTCCTATGACCGATTACGACCATGACCCAGAGTATAACGCCCCCGCATGGAATAATAGGCGCCAAAGGAGACAAAGGAGAGGTGGTCCTATTCATATGTTGATCGGTATGGCAGTTGATGCCACGAAAAGCTCTGGCCAACGCTACTAATGTGAGGGAATATGCATGAAGTGCAACGAGTGCTAAACAGGACGGATACACGGCGGAGGGAAGTACTGAAATGAGACGATTATGAAATAAGGATAACGGTTATAGTAGTTTTCGAAAACATATTCCCCGATGGACACTCTCGGATTGTGACGGAGTCAGTAGAAGCGGTATACACTTGTACTTTTTACTAACCAATGGCCTCAATGATGACAAATGAGAATGATGATAAACGATGCTATTTTGACTATCTAGATTACCCCTATTTATTTATGCAAAGCTACCCCTGACTGCCCAAGCTGACGTGGTCCAAGGGACTGGCTGTTGGAATCGGGAAGCACACCGCGCTCCTATTGGGGGACTGACTCCTAATATAGCTGACTACGTCGGGCGCTAACCCGAATGGGAAGGGAGAATCCTAACAGTGTCAGCATCGCTGGAAACAGCAGGCCGTGGATGGCTAATTCACCACCTTTTTTGGGCGGTCGGCTGAGAAAACTGAGGTAACTAAGGGCTGCCCTCGGGCACCCCCTTCCAATACACACACATGCATTACCACATGACTAAGAGTATATATAGAACAAGAGTCGGTCGATCGTTAGACTGAGGCAGGAATATAAGACCGTATATTTGAATTTCTCTGTCTTCCTATTTATGCTAGGAACAGTTCAAATCTGATCTCCTGTCGCAGATTTGATGATAGTTCATCAAGTAAATCCAAGACTTGAGTCTAGTACCCATGCATATGGACCAGTGTTGACACAATTTGAGTCTGATCCTTCCCATGTAGAAATTCCGTTAATGTCGTTGGTGTTGTCCTCATTATAAAACCAAACTTGCATAGCGTCGCTCTGGGGATTAGCCCCAACAATTTTTGCTGACCCAGCACCATCGATAGAGTAACTCAGAAGTTCATTCCAATCGGCGATATTGACACCCCATGGATCTCCAATAGGATCAGAACAGCTTCCATCTGAGTAATACTGAATTCCGACGTAGTCATCATTGCAATTCAAGATAGTGCAAATAGCATCCTGATATCAACTATATTAGTATATAATATAATCAAGAGGTCTAAAAGATAGGAACATACTCTCGAAGTTAATGGGAGAGATGATCCCACTGACAAGAGAGTAGGGAGGAGAGCGAAAATATTGATTTGAGAGCGCATTTTGTGTCAAATTTGATTGCGGTGTGATTAGGCCACTTCTTGGATTTGAGATGTATTTGGTTGTAGGTCTTGCTCGTGTTCTTGACAGCTATCGATACTTATATACTAGTCACCTTTAGCCGCTAAATCCGAGGAACCAAAAATAGAACATATACAATGACTAGCGCTATAAGTTAGTATAGGAAGATATAGATAGGTTATTTCAAACTTCTCCACCTTGGGCTATAGATAGGTATCTTCGATAATCTTACTCCGTAGACAATAACTAGCGTATTCCACAGGCGAGCGGGTCACCTAAGCGAGTGGGTCAGCCCAAAATCCATATGTAGTAATAAATGCGATATTATTTTATGTCGGCTACTCGGCGTGTAATCATGGTGGATCCATGAATAAACATTGGTTCAGCACTAAACTGCTTTTGTTTTTCGACATTCTTGGCATTGTGTGTTCATTTCGGTTAGAGGGCTACGACTGAGCGATTAAAAACCGGGTAGGAAGGCGATAAATAGAGATAGCTGAACGGGGAAGGGCTCTCGCTACTAAAGGTGTCTATTATTATCAATGTAGTCGTATACATATACGGAATAGAAGCACACCATATATAGTCAATTATTTTTCCAGCACAAACTCATTATGTTTTGGTTTCTTTGGTCGCTCTTGTCTTCGTACAAGTTAACCTATCATAATGCCCTCTTATATCGCTCTCATTGCTGCTGGCTTGCTCGCTGCCGGGGCGAGTGCTCTACCTTCTCAGAGCGATGATAGCTGTGCTACCGTTATTCCAGCTCACCTTCCACCACTTATTACGCCAAAGTTCGCGCCGCTCCCAACCCCAAGCTGTGTCATCTCGGGGAAAACGATCCACTCTACGCAGCTTGAAGGCTGCTTAATCTTCAACTCTACCATTTCCAACGCCACCGTCACTGGCTCGACCATTGTGTACTCCACTGTGGTTAACTCGACTGTCCTTGACTCCTCTGCTTCGACTGTGACCTTTAACTCGGCCAATCTGACCGCTATGGATGTGCAGAACTCCAAGATCTCGGGCAGCTATCTGAGTCTGGGGGACAATAACCAAAGTGGGGAGCTTCGTGACATTAAACTTTCTTTCCTCCAGCTTCAGGAATGAGATTTACATATTGGCATGAAAGGATGTCTCCTGGCTTCGATTGGAACCCATCACTACATCACAGTACTATATCAAAATAGCATGCATGCTCATTTCAGCCATTGTTGTTCTGCAATCGACTCTGACAGTCTTTTGCATTTCCCAACACTTCCTCATGATTTTCAACACAGTCCCGCTATTCCCACACCTCCTAGCTCCCCGCACTAATTCAACCATCAGATTCTCAAAGAACGGACGGACGTGCGGCTGGGCCATGCATCCTATTACACACAAGGCCCACACCGAGCCTGTGAGGGAGTAATGCCTCGGTTTGTTTTGAAGTAAAGTGATACTCCGGACAACCGCGCTCTGAATCTCAGGGAGGGCTACCAATGGCCCTGATACAATTGTATGCAGCAGAACCAAGCAAGCCAAGGCGAAAATACGAGTCACCTAGTTTTTCAGAGATTCAGACTTAGTGTATCCCTAAAGTTAAGTGAAGTTTAGCACTTAAATGCTCAAAAGCGAAAATAGGAGCAACATGCTATTGATAAGTCAAGATCCCGAATCCCGCTTTCGAGCCGCATCTCTATCTCTTGGCCCTTTCCAGCAAGCTCTCGTACGCTCAATAATCCATCATTTTCCTGTTGCTCCCTCTATATATCAAAGTTTGCTAGATCACCGATTACGACTATGTCCTAGTTATGGCATCCTATGAGGTCTGCTGTATTTAATCCTGGAGTGCGAAGCTAACTTTGGTAAGGAAGTCGTGGTGGCCTTCCTGTTGATAGAGAGGCGAAAATATCGAACCAAACGACAGTAACTATAAGGAACTCTAATCCTTGGTGGTATCCTCCTCTATTATATGTATAAGAACCGATTGAACTTGAGTGAGCACCATAGGCGTAGGACTCGGAATTGAAGATAGCTTCTGGTGATAGTAGACTCATAACAGAGGTGACGGCATCTAAATGCAGTAGCTAGTTATGCTCTGCGCTACTAAAGACCTGCAGATAATTTCAGCTCTGTTACATAACAACTCAAATTTGAGGCAAGTACCTGGAAGCTGATCAACATAAAACTGCAGGCGAGAAATTCGGCTAATTACGCATGATCGTCACGTAGCTTATCCCCTTTTTCGCTTATAAGGTCGCAAAGTTCACGTAATACCCTAGAATGATGATCTAGAGCCTTTTGTTTCCGCTGAAATTCCTCTTCTATGCCCAAAAGTGCGCTTTAATGGAGTGAGGACAGGCTCAAAATTGCGTGGTAGAGAGGCCCTCGTTTAATCAATAGCAAGAAAAGCCAACCCCGATTTCCTAATCGAGATTGAGAGTCATGATATAGAAATTGCTATTAAAAGACTTGGTCAAGATAATGTATTAACAAGTATACCTCTTGATCATCAAGTTCGTTGGGGTTTAGGCTGCTTTCACAAGGCACCCCGCAATCCTTAATGGTATCATTATAGGCAAGAATTTTGCCCTGTTCATCAGGGCGGTTCAGAGCTTCTGTATCACAGTGTGATGTGATCACACTTTCCGCTGGTTGCGGTAGAGATGGAGATGACGAAAGATGCGGAGGTGTGATAACTGTACTATTCTAGGTTCCTTCGGTCGCTTCGACCGCCTCATTTCCTAGGGTTTTAGATGCAATTTACTCCCTCACGCTTCGACTCCGGCGAGCGCGACTCTGTATCTTCTTGACATGACGAAAATTCTGATTAATCGCAGTTTTGATGCGGGCTCGTTCCTTCTGCTCTTCTGCGCTACCGTCTATCCAGGCAGGCTTGGGGCTATAGCCGTGGCAATAAATGTGTCGGTCGGTGTATTCTTTGCAAGACGGTGTGTCTAAGTCACACTTACGATGTCTTACACGGCAGGTCTAGCACCCTGGGTTACCGGTTGGCATGATAGTCGATAGCTGGGTGATTCATAGAAGGCAAGAGTAGGTGAAGCAGAGCAACGACCATTAAGGTGATGGTCACTCGTAGGGCGTTCCGATTAGGAAATTCGAGCCACCAGATTATGTAATATAACTTGGACAAATCACAGGAGGCTTGGGTACAGCGATGTATCTAAGGAGGCATAATAGAAATTTAAGCCACTGCGAGTCTTATTGATACAATTTGTACAAATTTGACAAAGATTTGAATCGTTATGGTCATCCATTTGCACCATTAACCTCAATCTTTGATCCGTCCTTCTACGGCGGACATACTGGCATCCGAGAACAGGGAGCTTTTATAATTATGATAACCTTATTTGACTAACACCCTGGAAGGAAAATATAAGGTATAACTAAATCTCCCGGCAGTCGTACTAAAAGATACAGAATAATTGCTCCGAGAGTTTGCCCTAATCGGTTTCAGAACTTTTAAATCTAAATACCAGAAAACTGTCTAGCTAGGTAGGCATCAACTTCCTCTCCTTCCAGAAAATTGTTTTTATTTGTGATCTGAATCGTCTTCCCAGGTACCTTTGGGATCATATCTCTGACTATTATTCAAAGTATGTCTAACAAGATGACTCTGAGGTTTTGGTCAGACTTAGGGAACTCCACTGTATGTCTATTCTCGGATGCCGTTATCGTGCGCCGTAGTCCTTCAATTCCTGGCACTGCAGGAAAAAGGGTGGCTGATAGATCCGGTTCGGAATTTAGCAATCTAATTAAATCAGTAAAATGAGTTATAGAGAATCAGATCGATGAGAAGGTTGAAGTACTTACCACGCTTGTGATACTCGCATAGAGTCTACATCCAAGCACGCAGATGCCGATCAAGAATAGAAGCAAGTTAGAAATTGCGTGTCGGATATTATGATTCTCGGACTATTTACCTTCTCTTAGGAGAACGTACTATATGACAGGAGGAATATAGAGGGCAAAACTAGAGGTAAGAAGGTAGCCCACGATAGCCAGGAGCTCCGAGAAGAATGGAATAGCTTCTGCAATAATCCATACCACGATCGTAACGATAGAAACAGTTGCTAACTAGGTAATCCAACCCTTAGTGGTGTTAACATAACAAACCACAGAGACTTGATAAATTCTACTATGAATGAATCGACAGGCAACTGTGGTGTTGATAGATCCGGAAATGAATATAACAGGTAGGGCTATACTAAATGCAATTTTAGCGAAAAGAGGCCCTACTGATAACAGAGCAGGAGATTGGATATATTAACCGACAAAAGCGTATATAGTGGCACCAGTGATTGTATAAATTGTGGTTTGTGTTACCCCTAAGGTAAGAATCGACTTTGTGAAATCATTCGGAGTATATATCTCATCCATGAACGAAGGCTACGCGGCAGCGAAGGAGTATGCAAAAACAATGTTGGAGATAGCAATAAATACCTCACTCAGCGTAAGGTCATCTTTAGCCCAAGGGGACTAATCCGAAGATACGGAGCCGGTGTTTTGAACACTAGTCGCAATTACGCTTATTCCAATTACCACAATAATAGAAGCAAAGTCGATGTAGCCGAGAATAGAAATTTCGGCAAAGGAAGGCGGCACTGCGAAGACAAACAGTATCACAGCAGACACTATACTGAAAAGAAGGGCACATACGTTGCTCTCCGTGATTATAGTCAGAGCAAGCTTTCCGGTCAAACAGTGCGAGCCCACAGTCAGGGTCATTAGAGCAACGAAACCCACGCCGAATATCTTGTCTCCGATGCCCCCCATCAAAAGGCGTCCGAAGTCAACATAATGAGGAAGGTGTGGATATCTGAGCTTCACGAGACCGATAATGTAACTCGAGTAAAGAGCAATAAGGCCGAAGCCGATTGTCAATATGACACCGGCAACCATTCCAAGCGTCGCAAATGCGGAGGGAAGACTCAAGCTACCAAGGGCGACAGATTGAACGATCAAAACAATGGTCAGACGTTTCCATCCTAGGCGATGGAAATTCCTATCACCCTCGGCAGCTTTGATATGCTCGTTCTTTCCCATAGTGTGCCCGAGAATCTCACCTTCGGATTGTTCTAGATCCGTCGCTTCTTTGGCTTGTTTCTTCCCCGGGCAAGTGGTAGTCTCGCTGTAGATTGTGTCCTGATGCATAATGAACAGAAGATTTTCAATTTAAATGGATTGAAACAAGGCCGTCTGTTACAATCAGACTCAAGCAAGGGTGTGCGATGATGAGTGAACAATGGCTCAAATTGGAGAAGAGGTACAAGGTCTCAGGGAGAACGGAAAATCAAAACGAGTCAGGCTAGCGAGAGTAAGGATATTTGCGGATGATCAACTACCCAGAAACCGGCCCGGTATCTCCATTGTCTCTGGAGAAGTTTCCCCAGTTAATTGAGAGATTCGTTGGTGCCCCGTCTTAGCGTGAGGTTGTAAGTCGCGGTCAAGCACTCCTAAACCTTCCACCGGTCCGGATGCCGGGACGGAATTGCTAAATCCACTTGTAGGCATTTGCAGAGAATTCTCAATATGTTTCTTTCGGATATCATTTCATAGTTCGCCTGCGTGGGTGGAATCGAATTTAATAGACACCAGTGAGAACCTGAGAAGGAAGCTCGGGACGGGACCCACAATAAGTTGAACGAGAACATTAGTGAGCAAACGACTCCGCATCGAGTCGTAGAGATGGTCATAATGTCTTGACTTGGATTATCTTCTGTTATCTATCGACCTTTAGGCCAGCATATCATTCTCTCTTCACGAGATAATCTCCTGGACTGTGTCTCCCTGCCCTCTCTTGGGCCTTCACGGTTTCTCTGCTTTCAACCACCTGATCAAGCGCCGGCCAACATGTCAGCAAGTACTTTGTTTTTGAATGGCCGTATTTTCGCCACGGCCACGGCTGGACCGCACGATGGCCCAAATTTCGTGGACAGTATGCTGGTCGAGAACGGCGAAATCACCGCCATGGGATCATACGATGAGATCACCGCTTCCAAGAGTATCTCAGATATGCAGACCCGCGACCTAAAGCAGCAGACTGTTCTACCAGGCTTCATCGACGGCCATATGCATCTACTGCTTCTGGGCCAATCGTTACGCAAGCTCGAACTCAAGCACTGCAAATCTCTGGAGGAAATCAAGACAACCATCAAGGAATACGCTCTTGCGCACCCGGATGCACCAAGTATTCAATGCAAAAATTGGATGCATGTCATGACACCAAACGGTGTCACGGCTGCCATGCTCGACGGTATTGACCCTCGACCAATCTTTATTGATGCAAGCTTACAGCATTCATGCTGGTGCAACAGTGCAGCTTTGAAGGAGCTGGGTGTCGCCGATATGCCTGACCCGGCGGGGGGCACTATCTATCGCGACGCTGACGGGACTCCATCTGGTCTTATTGACGAAGGGGCCATGATGTCTATCATCTGGCCATATCAAGCCGCTTCTGCTTCGAAAGAAGAGCGCATCCAAGCTATTCGTGCAGCTATTCAAGAGTATAACTCTGCAGGGTATACTGGTATAGTGGAGATGGCCATGGATGAAGAAGCATGGGATGCGCTTGTTACTCTACGAAGGATGGACCCAGATCTTCCATTGCGAATCGCCGCATACTGGCTGATTAAGCCTACAGCAAACCTTGAGGCGAACTTCCGTCAAGTTCAGAGGGCAACTGAGTTATCGAAAGTTTACAATGCTGAAACGAGCCCTGATCTCCGTATCGTCGGGATCAAAGTCATCTGTGATGGGATTATTGATGCCTGTACGGCTTATCTCTCACAGCCATACGCTCCTGTCAGCTCTCCGCCGCCAATCTGGGCTCCGGAGCACCTTCACCCGGTCGTAAAAGAGGCAGACGCCGGGGGCTTGCAGGTTGCGCTCCATGCCATTGGTGATGGGGCTATCAAGATGGCCATTGATGCAATTGAGAAGAATGCCACTCCCGGTCGTCGGCATCGCGTTCAGCACATCGAGCTTGCATCACCAGAGGATGCCAAAAGACTCGGTGAATTAGGCTTAACGGCCTCCATTCAGCCAGTGCATGCCGACCCATCTATTCTGATAGAATGGCCAAGATTGTTGGGGGAGAATCGGTGTCAACGAGCCTTTGCGTATCGAGAATTTGCCGATGCTGGGGCACTGATGGCCATTGGAAGCGATAGCCCAACCTCACCATATGCGCCTATGCATAATCTCTATGTTTCTACGACGCGACGTTCCTCAAGAGACCCTCAGTACACAAAGGTTGTGAATGAACACTTCCGATTGGGCATGTATGAATCTATGGTTGCAGCATCAGGTGGTGCAGCAACGAGTGTCTTTTCGGAGAAGCGAACTGGCAGCTTGACGGTTGGAAAACTGGCAGATTTTGTCGTCGTGGACATGGAATGGGATGCAGAGGCTTTACTCCAGGCAGAGATTAGGGAAACGTGGTTTGGTGGACGCAAGGTCTGGGGTGAGTAGTGGAATATATAACACACTCTGGTAGGAAGACCAGTTCAACGTCATGAGAATTTAAATTCTCAAGCATGTTAATATCATAACTAGAACCTTTCCCTTGAGTCAAATCAACCTACATCCGCAAACAAATACGATCATCTAAATAAGATCATTGAAAAAGGCCACAACATGATCCATGCCACTTTGTGAAATGGATCCATTGGACCAAAATCATTGGTTATCTCTTAGCTGCGGGGTTTGAATCCCGACTTTCGAAATGGCAAGTCGTGCCGGAAAGGTAAGCTCGAGGCGAGTAACTCGCTAACACGGCAACAAATTCGCCGACCAGAAGGGAGCATACGATAGTTATCTCCTATCTCCGGCGACTGATAATCGTCAACATTATCAAGTTTTACATTGTTCCTTCTTGTGAGTTTAGTTACTGAACACGGTAATGAAAGCCTAGCTGCCTACTCCATATAATGCCCTGAAATGAACGAAGTGAGAGAAAGGGTTCTAATCAACGTGCATGTACGTGCGCGTCAGCAAAAAGATGAGGCTTGTCTATGTAGGAACTCTGCTGCTACGCACGCTGCTCATCCGCCCATGAATTCATGAATTACCTTCTTGGGCCTGGCTTCTCTTGGCCATTAGGGTTCTAGGGTTTTATATGCATGTATCTGCACGTTCTCCTTCGATGATTGCTTCGTGTGCTGCTCCTTGACCCTCTTTTTACGGTGACGCTCTAAAATGTATTACCACGCATGTCTTCGCTAGCTTCTGTGCTCGCCGCGCTTCGCTCCTCTGCGCTCTAAGTATATTACGGCTCCACAAAGTTATCACGTCGTTCTTGCCAATTTGTGGCCGCTAGGTGCGTCTATCTACGACTAACTACCGGGGGCTCCGCTTATCGATTTAACTACCTATAGTCCACACGCGACCTCGCGCACGCGGCCCAATCTAGTAGATTAGCCACGCCTACTACTGTAGGCCAGCGCTCCCCCTAGTCATCGCAGGGCCTTCTAATTGTACAGCTTCGTGGGTAATAGCGAAGCCATTCCCTTTGCGCCAGTACTCTGTCCTACAGCCAATACGCTCCCTGCTACAATGTTTCCGATCCATCTATGGGAATAATGGTCAATTCGAATTGTGGTGAACAGGAATTGTGGTGAATTGGAATTGTGGTGAATTGGAATTGTGGTCAACTCGAGTGCTACGATTATTCGGAGATTCGTTTAATCGGGAGAATTGGAAGCCGTTGGCTGTGTTTAATTTAACTGCAGCAGTAGGTTGAGAAAACAACGAGGCCGAATCCTTCACAGTCCCCATGATTTTAACACTTTATGATCAATCGATTCTGATCTAGCCTTTCATTCGCTCGCAATTATTATAACATTGACGTGAATTAGTTTATATATACATTTACCAGCCAAACATTTCGTTCCGCAAAACTGTCAAACTTACATTTACGGTACAGTGTCCGAAAACAAAGTACAAGGTTAGATATTCCATTCTTTTTGGCATTTTTCTCTTCCCCGAAACTAACTTTCTTATACAAGAATGAATTCTGAGAAAGGGAAGCTACGGCACCAAAACCGTGAAATCAAGCCGATATTCGGCACTCGCGATTTTCTGTTTTCTTTCAACGGTACCGTAAAAGAGCAGGTGCCTCCCTTCAATGTGTCAACAGCCTTACTTTCTTTCAATAATGCTGTCGAATTGATGGGTAGACAATATTTCATCGGCGTGGTTGGTCCTGACGAAGTTCTGATCTCAGTTAATAATGGTCACCATCTCGGGGGCAGTTTGCCAGCCTGTAGGCAGTGTGACTCAAATTTCTGGCAAGCTCCAAGTATAGAGCCCCGATACTTGAATTGACCTGGTTCGAGAAATTAATATCGGCATAACGAATGGGAGTCAGAAAAGAAAGACTAGTTTGATTTTCCAGTGAAATCTGCATAATTCAGATGAGACAGTCAGTCCATACAGTCCGTTTGCATCATTGAAATCTAGATGACCAAGATACAGTAAAACTTATAAATCATTAAAACTGATTGCACACGTGTAGATTGGCTTTCGGAAGGTAAGACGCAGCTACGGACAGGCCACAATTGGTTATCCACCTACGCCAGGAGTTTTGGCTTCCGCGACGACGACCACTGCGTGTGTGGCGCACAAGAAACTGTTACCCATGTGCTAGTAGACTGTCCATCTTTGAGGGACATTCGAAGGGAGTTACGGAAGGAAGTAGGGGACGCGTTCAGAAGTGTCTCAAGCCTGCTGGGAGGCTCAATGCAAGGTAAGAAAGGTAAACCAGACACCGTCTCAAGGGCGAAGACGGTCAAGGCCGTTTTGGACTTCGCCGAGGCGTCACAGCGGTTTTGGAGTCGCGCGCCACGAGGGCAGCCTAACAATGGGAACGGCAGTTAGGCCACGGCAGGCCATGACGAGGCTCTAAGTTCGTTTTTTCAGGAAGTGGAACACTCTACATGTACCTACGCGGATATATATAGTAGTAGTATGCTGCATGTCGCTTTCGAGCGAGGGGTCAGCGTAAATGAAACCAACCAACCAACCAACCGACTGTACATCGTACGCGACTGATTAGCATTGACGTTGGATTTCTTGTCATTACTAATGAGACAAAGGATCACATAATATCACATTCAATTTCGTTTCAGGTAGGGTTTCACATAAGTATAACGAGATACTGTACCGCCTTCGTTATTTCAATCAGTTATTTCTATAAAATAGAATGCGGCTGGGCTCTGCGCCCGACTATTTACGGTTGCTTCGAAAAGATTAAGACACTTATGTAACAGGAGGGGCTTCAACAATAAGGGTATTATATTTCTTGGTAAATAGAGACTGAGTGTGTTTTCTAGTGACCGAACAATGGGATATGACCACCTCCAATAAGGGCGGCTAAGACAACCACGATAAGAAAAGCTATCAGCACACACCCCCTGAACCAAACGAGCAAGCCGTGGTCCCTCCTTTCGCTTGTAGTTTCCAGTTTTAAACCTTCCTCGAGGTCAAACATATCACCCATAACCCTGCGTCGAGCACCGTGACGCATTTTTGCGACGGGCGCCTATCTGCACAGCCGCTAATTTTGTATGCAATCAGCAAAAACAGATGAAACCATGCAGCTGCACATGGATAGGTTTTTGTGCTTTGTATAAAGCAGTTGGCATCGCAGAAAGAGAATAAGTGAATATATTTCTGTGCGTATCCCATTAGTATACCTAGGTCATGAAAGTTTAACGGCGGGTGTGATACCGTACTGCTAAGCCTGCAATCACAGCGCGTTGGAAATAATAAAAGCTTCCAACATAATTCTCCGACTTAAGTCTTATTATGTAAAATTCTTCTTCGATTTGTCTAAGACTGGAAGCTATTTATACTTTAGCTGTTCGATTCCACGATTTGATGATCAAATTAGATAATTTTTACGACCGGGTTTGATCTAAAACCTTTTCATTTGACGCAGTGTGGCTTATCGTCGAGAGTGAGTTTTTGAAACATAATTATTGGCATTGTGACAATAACATAATACGACATGTAAGTGACTGAGATTGTCTCAAACTCCGACATAACGTTACAACGCGACCTGAGTACCACATGTTCACTCAGCCAGAAGACAGATCGAATCAATATAATCATGTAACTATAGCTGATGTACTGTACATCGTCAGGATTTGGCCCATAAATGGTATGATTCAAGATCGTTCTGGAACAATTGATTTGTTCAATCCTTTCTATTAACCGTCCATCAATTAAAGGTCCCGTTTTGTCGACCTCAAAAATTTCTCAAATGACTCCAGGGTCGATAATTAACGGCACAATATTATTTATTCTCGAAACAGTCATGCTTCAACTTCGCTGCCAGTCTCAAATGATGTAAATAACTTTGGGTGTGCAAATACGGCAGGTGTATGCTGAGCTCCAATCATATCTTGCACGGCTAGGAACCGTTATATCAAAGACCAACATCAACCAGCAATATTTAAAAGCTTCTCATGTAAAAATCTCATGTATGAGGAAAATTGTCATTTACATCCCTTTCAATGGCAGAAAAGCGACTTTCCGTCCAAAGCAATTCCAGTGTCCATAGCCGATCACCCGACTCTCCCAAGTTCGTTTTGGGGCCGGACGTATCCTCCCCGCTTCCAGGAAGACACAACCCTCCTGACATCAATTCATTAGACCACCAAATTGCGATGATACATGGTTCGACGATGGCTTTGGAGACTACTAGAGGTCGGCTTCAACATTCTAAGTCCAACCATGGCCTGTCTGCCCAGGAAATAAGGGACGAGAAGCTTCGACAATATGATCAGCAAAGAAACGAGAATAAGTTCTACAGGTCCTGCCGAGATAATTTTCATGAACTCGCTGGGACGGCTATGAGAATCTCGCAATATCTTGAGAATGAAGCAAATTCGTTCGATAGGACAAAGATTTCAGAGGCAATGGAAATATTAAACACAGCCTTAGAAGCCTCACGAGACCGGGAAGCACGAGCAGAGGAACAGTGGAAACAAGAATGGGAATTTTTACCCAATCCGGCCCCACCCGTGCCTTGGATTTGACTGAATTTTTTCGCTGTAGATTCTAAAATTGATATGGTCTACAGTCGATTTGGAAACGTTAAAGCGGGCATACCCCGTATTCACTTACTTGTCATTGAAAAGATACAGATATGAAATGTTACTGTTATCAACTTCAGAAAGCAGTGAGTCAATGGCCTGACAGGAAATTATCTTAAACGAATTTATGCTTTGATGTTGCAAATTTTGTTCAACTTACAGTTATCACCTTGGAAAACGTCATATGATTGGTATTAGCGCCTGACAGGTCATTAGGTCAATGGAGACTCAGCCACATTCCAAGCCACTAGTCGGCATCCGCGTAGACGTAGGGTTCCCTAAAGGGTACAGGTTTAACAAATCATATATAAAAACATTGACTACGAAGTATTCATGCATCTACGTCTTTAATGATTTCTGGTGGCCATTTTC